ATTGACTTCTGCTCTGGGCAGCTTCAGGAACAACATGGGAGGTGGGAGGTGACAGTGTGGGAAGGAGGTACAGTATATATATTTTACAAAGCCCCAATGTGTAAGCAGAAAATGGTACAGCCATTTGAGTCCTGACCTATTTAGCTAAATATTAGAAGCCATGTCTGGCAAATCTAGCCTCAAATACATTTCTGTAGTAACAAAGAGATGGAACCAATATAATGTTGAACAAAAGGAACCTGCATCTTCTCTTTGTTAACAATGATCTATAGACTCGGTGCTAAGATATTGGTTAGTTTGTAATCAAACTCCTGCTGCCTTTAAGTTTTACAGAATAGCTTTAATAACATGGGGAGGGGGGTGTTGTTAGCAAAACAACACCTCTGTCTTCAGGGCTTAAAATAAGGTATCTAAACTAGTCAGTGAACTTTAGTCTCATATTTCTCCAACAGTAGCTTCCCATGCCTCCTGGCAGACTCTTTTAGGAGCTGAAAAGAATTTCAAAAGCAGCTTGTAATACAGGTTTTACTGTTTGGGGGTGGGGCCAAAAATCCACAAGGCAGCTGCTAGCCATTGCAAGACAGAATTGTCCTGGTCCTGTTTCTTGTTCCCAGAATCTGATAATTAGAAGACAGATAAGATGGTTCAGTTTAGTTATCATGACATTGGTAGGTGCATCCTTCATTCTTTTTTCATAAGCTGTCTGAAGTCTATCACTAACTCTAGTGATGTATTAAAAAATGAACACTAAAAAAAATGGCTACATTTGGTTGTTCTACATTGGCTGTAATATGCAGAAATTTTTTTTTCCCCACACACAAAGCTTTTTAACGGTGAGCCATGATTAAATTAGGAAGTGTTCAGTGGAGCAAGCCAAGTTAAAGATTGGTTTATGATCCTGGTTTGTTCCAAAGCTGGTAGCCATAGTTTCCTGTTTGGGATGAAATGGGAAGCAGTGGCTGAAGACTTCTTGATTTAATCATGGCTCACTGTAAAAGGATTGCACGTACAGGCAGAAATCTCAATCATCCAAACCAGGTCATTGTGCCACAAGCATTTTTAAACAGTGGAATGACACAGATTTCTTATTCCACTGTTTGCAACAAGATATGAGAAAGTGGAAATAGAAAAGTTTTCATATATAATGACATAAAAGCTGACATGTTTATAAAGACCAAAGGAATTCAATAGTAAAAATAGCATACCCTCATTTATGCTTCAACTAAATATTAGTGTAATATATGTTCATAAGAAATACATTTGTACTGGCCTCAGCTATGGTTGTAAAATGAAACTTTTTTGGGTGTATAAAGGTATATTGTATAATCACACTGAGGCTTACAAAGCCTGTTAGACACAAAGGGACTTCTGTAATATGAGACACTGTGTGTCTTAAAACAGTGTCTTGCTGTGGTCTTGCACAATTACCATTCATGTCAATGGCCTGTTGTCTTCCACCTTGTTCCAGATATATATATATATATATATAATAGTGAATGATATCTTTTTGTGCCCCTGTAAATTGGATGCAAGAGAGTTAGAATTTATGCTTCCTTGAGTTATTCCCCCCCCCCATCTTAATTCAGCCTCTCTTGCTCAAGAATGAGCAAGGATTTAATTTAAAATGGACAATTGAAATCTAAGGCTTTTCTACTTTCTCTGTTGAAAACATTCAGCATGGAAAATGTCACAAGGAAAGACATGCAAGTTTGGGCCTTTACAGCTCCTTATTTGTAGGAAGAAATGTGCAGCTGGTGATTGTGTGGTGGACAAATACTTGTTACTGGGGAAAGCCTATTCTTCCCCCAGCTAGCAATGAAATTGAGAATACAGTGTGGAAGATATTTTAACTGGTGTCATTGGTACAAAACAGTGCCTACCTGTCCAGTGAGTGATAGAAATCTCTGGTGCTGCTACATGCACCATTTTATAAACTGTTTTTAAGTTTAATTCTTTGTTTTTGAAAGATTAATGGCAGAGGATGAGTATTCTGTGGCTATATCACTATAGCAGGGAGTCATTCATCTAGCGTCTAGAACAGTGGTTCCCAACCTTTTTTTGGCCATGACCCACATAAGCATCTCTAAAATTCTTATCCCCCCCCCCGGTGATATATAATTCTTATTATTCAAAAAGTGAACTCCTGTTCACGCGGAGGAAGCCTAAAAGGCCATTCACTGTTAATAACTCATTCTCGAATTGCCCCCCTTAAAAATCAAATTGCCCTCCATGGGGCGTGTGCCCCATGTTGGGAACCATGGGTCTAGAACATAGAACATGCAAAGTGTCACAGGATCAGTCCCCAGCATCTTCAGCGTCTTGCTACAAACATGGGAAATTAATGCCAGTCAATGTGTGGTCTGATTCTGTATAGGGTAGATTCTTGTGCTCTAATCCCCCATGCAAACTGGATAAATGATCAAAGTTCCTCCTTCCTTCCACAGCAACACTCTTCTATTTAATGAACCTTTTGCTATTTCTCTTCTCTTTGTCTCTCAAGGATAAGCCCTCTTCCCTTCTGATGCTGGAGTAGACATCTAACCCTTGTAAGCAATTTAGTGAACAGGGTTATGCTATACAGCACCCCACAGTGAAGCTAAATCATTTCCTTCCATTATAAGTGGGATATTCTTTCATGTGCTGGATCAGGAGCAGCAATAGTTTAGTGCTACCTTGTAAATACCCTCTAGAAGATGGTAGCCTGCTCCCCCCTCCCCCCAAATTACTAGCCTACGGGAGGCTGGCAGAAAAGGTGCAGAGAGCTGTATTTCAATGCTGGGCAAGGATGAAGGGGCTTCTCTAGCAGCCCACTTGGCTACTATACTGAGCTCAGCGGACGAATGGAGCACTCTATGTTTCAACTGATGGACTCACCTGCATGCAGTTCCTGGTCACCTGTGGTTGCCAGGGAAGTGTTCAGATGCAATAATGGTTTAGTGCTAAGGGAGAAAAAAGTTTTGCTGTCTGGAAAGGCTCAATAGAGACTTTGCAGCCCCTCTTGGTTTTGTGCCAGCTTTGCCCATCAGTGGTAGTACAGACAGAAGCACCCCACATGTCTGGATTGTGATGATCAGAAGAACTGAAACAGTGCACCTGCTGATCCTGAATATTGCAGCCCTGTAGATGTACTTTAGAAATCAGATATGTAAAGCAATATAAACTTACCAACTCATGGGGATCTTTGCAGACTGAGTTGGAATGCAGAGACATGGGTGAAAAAATACAAGCACTTACAGTGACTTTGAACATTTCATTGCTGAACAGCAACAGGCTGCATAAGTTCCTAGTGCTTCATATTCATTTACAGCAGGGGTTATCAACCTGGTCCCTACCACCCACTAGTGGGCTTTTCAGGATTCTAGGTGGGCGGTAGGGGGTTCTACGGCACAAGTTGAATCCTCCTTCCATAGAGCACTGATGGGCAGTAAGGAAATTTTAACATCAAGAAAGATGCATTAGTGGGCGGTGGGTATAAAAAGGTTGACTACCCCTGATTTACAGCTGTGTTCCATCTACAATGTAGCCTTTGCTTCAGATAGTGCAGGCTTCACTGCAGAACCTTTGTTTCAGATGTGACATTGCACAAATGCCGGAGACTTGAGCACCCTATTCTTACCTAAGTAATATCCAAGCTGCTCTTTGACTGGGTTTCAGTCCCCATGGTCCGCTTTTGAGTCCTGATTCTAAATTATTATTATTTAATTCCTTTACAAAAGGAACTAATGCTTGGAAGCAAATAAGGAGAGATTCCTCTCTTCCGAAGAGACAGTATTGGAATTGTGGCTAAATTGGACAGTGCATAGCAGTGTGTTATTGTTCACCTGTACTGTGGAATGGAAGCCCACAACTGCAGGGTGCATGCGACCCTCACTATATAATATGTACCTTGTTTGGAAGCTTATCACTAATATGACCACAGTGTCACCTGGAGAAAAAATAAAGCACCCAAATAGTGGCTTTCAAATTTTGTTTCTTCAGGGAATCCATTCCATGTACATTTGTCTGCTAAGAAAATCCCATCTGTTGGAAACTTAACACCAGCTAGGCCTTTTAGACATAATCACAGTTGTTCTATGACCACTGAAATTATGCTCTGCAGCTGGGGAAAACCTGTAATGGAAAACCTACTTCATGGAGGAAACCATTCAGAGCAATCACTCTGTTCTTTGGAAACAAAGTTTGAAAACTACTGCAGGAGGACAGAGTGCTCTTGAACTCAGGTCCTACCTTCCAGCTTCCTACTGACATCTGGTTGGCCACTGTGAGAACAGGGTGCTGGATTTGATGGGCCACTGGCTTAATGCATTGGGCCACTGGCATTTTTGACAAGCTTTGGTTGCTGCTTGTGCAAGAAGTATTGCATCAAACACATAGCTAGACATACATAAATGTTATCAAAACCAACTCCATACTGAATGAAATGCACGTAAAGGGTTTTTAGTATGTAAATGGTTTATGTCTTGTTCGTAAGAAGAGTTCCAGTTGTTTCAGGGAAAGCAGTATTATCCTTTAAAAAGGTGGCGGTGTGGGATGCATCAAGTTGAAGAATATTTTGCAGTTAATGATGAAATGGAAGTCCTAGAGCACCAAACCTACTGAAGCTAGATCAGGGTGCAGAACCCTCACCCCAAGGACTACATTCTCATAGGCAATCTCTGGAGGTGGCAGGCCAGTCCTTGGAGGGGCAGTGGGGAGAGGCAAATGTGTGTGGGGCAACAAATGAAATTCTTAACTTGGTGCAGTAGGCTACATATCAGCCACACACAAGCCAGGAATGCATACACACGCCTAAACTATTAGTCGTAACTGAAAGGACACATTCCAGGCAAAAGCACTTGAGGAGGGTTAGCTGAGCAGTGCCTGTGTGGGGAGGAGCCCAAAGGAGTCTTAAGAGACCACGAGCTGCAGGTTCCCCACCCTGACTTAAATAATAATGTAGAATGTTTTTACTTCTTTAGTGCAAGATTGACCTAACCGTTTGAGTTTTGTTTGTTTTACAGATAAAAGCAAAAAACTATGACAAAGTAGAAAAGGTGAGTGTATAAGTATGGCCTATGTTTTAAATAGATTTGGAAGGAAGAATAAATACATGGATCATCTATTCTCCCTTGTTAAGTGATGTGGAAAAGTCAGTCTTAAGCTTGCAAACAGCTAATTTATCCTAGCATTTGCCTTGGAAATTAAGTATAAAGTGTCTGCCACTTTGTGGCAAAAGGCAAGAAACTTGGAAAGAAGAAGACACACACACACACCCCTTCCCATTTCTAACATCTGCTTGAAGACCCATTTTCCACAAGAAGGTTTTGGGGCCATGGCCTAGTGGCGGCTCCCACATGAGTACCTCAAAAAGAGATTGGGCCACCCCTAGCCTTGTGACTTCAAAACCACTTACATGCAGGTGCCATTTGTGAGAACCACATGGGGTTCTCTGCCCTCCATATGGGTGCTGTCTATGTGGCCACCACAGTTAATGCAATCTGGCAAGTCTTTTTCAAGATACTACACCAGGCATCCCCAGTCTGCAGCCCTCCAGATGTTTTGGCCTACAACTCCCATGATCCCTACTAACAGGACCAGTGGTCAGGGATGATGGGAATTGTAATCCAAAACATCTGGAGGGCTGAAGTTTGGGGGTGCCTGTACTACACTCATGCAAATTGTAGCAACTACACAAACATTTCCCACATGGAGATGCCAGACACTGCCTCTGTGTGTGTGATGCCAGTCTGCAAGCTAACATTCTTGTGGCACTCATAAGGGAACTACCATTAAGTATGAATTGCGTCTGTATTTTTGCCCTCGTGAAGGGAAGGGACATTCTACAGTGGGGAAGCTACCTTTGAAAAGGCCATTTCATTCACTATATCACATGAGGCTGCTTCACTCACTTGGCGAGGGGCATTCTGGGAAAAGTCTCTGAAGAAGATTATAGGATCCAGGCAGGTCAGAATGGGTGGAGGGAATCCCTCAGGTAACCAGGCCCCAAACCACTTAGGACCTCAAAGTTTTACAGCAGTGTTATGAATCAAGCCTGGAAATGGACTGGAAGCTAGTGTAGATGGCAAAGTACTGGCATAGTATGATCAGAATCACCATTCCCAGTTTGTGATCTTGCTGCCCTATATTGGACCAGCAGAATTTTTCAAGGCAGCCTCACATATTGCAGTAATCCAAATGGGAGGTTACCAAAGCACAGCTGTCTGTCTAGGTAAGATTGCAGTTGATATGTCACCTTCAGCAGATAAAAGGCACTCTGTGCCACTGAGGCCACCTCTGCGTTCAGTGACATGATAGATCTAGGAGCAGCCCAAACTACAAGCCTCAGAAGCTGGCTTTGGTCTGCCCTCCATGGGCCACTTTTTACAGGTAGAAGGAATGCCTCCCTGTCAATCACCTGATGTTATATATGACACTGGATGATTCAGATTTCAAAGGAAGAATCAAAGCTGACTCAGAAGTGTGCTCCTGATTCTACCCTTCTTCCTTTGCAGCCTGACTTTCACTTAAGATGGAACTGAAAAGGATTATTCTTTCATTCCAATCCTGGTCTGAGTTCAAGATGGGGTTGTAAAGGTTTCTACCACAGGCTTTGTCTGCACTCAGAGTCAGGAGCTCTGTTCTGGAGCTCACAAGTGAAGCCAATCCCAGTTGAGCTTGCATTTATTATGAAATTTTTAAAGCACCACTTACCAAAGAACAATTGGGAGCACACTTTTAAGGCTCCTGGTCATTCCTTTGCAGCAGCAGTTTTACCTGCCTCAATCCCTGCTTTAGGGGGAGTGCAACTCTCTCCAGAACAGGTTTAAAACCACTCAGATAAATGGATGAACCACTTAGTAAAGTCATTCCTCCTTGTATGCTCATCTGCTGTTATGCTCATATTTCCCAGTCCCACTTAGTCCTTTCAGCTGTGATCCAAAGTTTATTTACTGCTCCTACACACAGTAATTCAGAGGTTTTCAGGGAATTTATCTGTGCTTCAATATGTGGAAAGTGGCAATGTCAAAACAAAGGTACACCACTATGCCAAACAGAGGATGCATGTATTGCAAGGTTCTCGTACTGGATGGATGCATTTCAGAGTTTTGACAGCATCCTTACCTTTACATTAAGACTTGGCTGTTATTCCTGAGACTGTGCCTGTCTGTCTTAAAAGGAATGCAGACCGAACCTTTGTTTGTTCAAGCTCCAAAGTGCCTCCTGATATCTATTCATGGATTCCTGTTGTTGTTTTTCTTCATTGTGACTAGCTGTTTCAGAGGTGCCTTATGAAAGTTTTACACATTGACTTATGGAAGTGCTACCTTTCGTATGTGCGAGAAACCAAAGGGAAGCTACCTAGTTATAAGTAAGTAAATGCTGTTTGTGTTAGCTTCTTTTTTTATTGCAATCTAATTCCTTTTTCAGTTAAGGATGAAGCAGGATACAGTCTCCCAAGTTAGCTTCTCATTTAAAGTAATAATTAGACAACTTCTGCCTGTGTAGACCTGCCCATGTAGCAAGGTGAAGCAACCTCCACCAAAACAGGGGTTGGTAAAGGCAGGAACTGATGCCTGAAAGGTTCAGCAAGACATTTAAAAGTGTTGGCTCCAGTGGGGGTCAGGTGGGGACACCAAACATAGAAAGTTGTCCTAGATGGCCTAGTGCCATAAATTTGGGTCAGCACTGACTCCTACATGGTATTCTTTGTCATTGTATATATGCCTCTTGAGTCCTTCCAGTTGATATGCCGACAAAGTGGCACTTCTGAAGCAGCCTTACACAAGATATCAGAAAGATCTGTTGCTTTTTTCCACTGATCTACTAATCCAAAGAAGGCGTAATTGTCACAGCTGTTTCTGATTCCCCTTCCACTGACAAGTTTTGTTTATTTTATTTAGTTACGAAATTTCTAGACTGCTCTGCATCACACACAGCAATTGCAGGGCAAGTTCTCAAATAATAGAAAATTACATCATAAACCTAAAACAGCAATAAAATACAATCACTAAGAGGCCAATTGTCAGTAAAACATAGCCAGTGCAGGATAAACCTGAGACTTTGGGTAAACTCTGCTAATTTCCTCCCAAAGCCAGGAAATACAAGTATGCTTTCACTTGGCACTAGAAACCTAAGTAAGTTCTTACCATCTGCACTTTCAGGAAGAGAATTCTATAGTCAGAGCAACACAGTGCCACAACAAACCATGCCTGGTGCCATTTTTATTTACTCTTTTAAGTATTTTTTCCAATCACATCCCATGTAAGAAGCTTAACAACAACAAGGGTTGTACAACTAAAAACAAAACCAGTTATTTAGGATCCTGTGCCAACTGCATAAACCCAGAGAAAGAACAATAAGAGAGCCAGTGTGGTGTAGTGGTTAAGAGCGGTAGTCTGCTAATCTGGGGAACGGGGTTCGCGTCTCCACTCCTCCACTTGCAGCTGCTGGGTGACCTTGGGCCAGTCACGCTTCCTTGAAGTCTCTCAGCCCCACTCACCTCACAGAGTGTTTGTTGTGGGGGAGGAAGGGAAAGGAGAATGTTAGCCGCTTTGAGACTCCTTAAAGGGAGTGAAAGGCGGGATATCAAATCCAAACTCTTCTTCTTCTTCTTCTTCAATAAGAGCAACATTTACAGGATAGTATCCCCTCATATAAACAGGCATGTATTGCATTTCTTTAAAAATATTAAAAGGATGACAAGGAACCATTAGTGAGCTTTGGGTAAGTCAACCAGCTACAAATCCACCTAAGACTTACCTCATCCAGCCCACATTTTACCAGCTTCTCCACAAAAATATCATGGGGGACTGTCAAAATCAAGGTACATTATGTCCACAGTATTCCCCTGATCCACCAAGTGAAATGAGATTCATCTGGCATCCTTTTCTAAGTCCTCACAGACCAACCATTTTCTGTTCTAGGACCTCAAGCTGACCAGTCAGTAGTTACCTGGGTCTTCTCTCACCCCTGGAGATTTGAATTCCTCTAAAATAGCTAGATGCTCCCTTACCACCTCTTTTTTATCTTAGACTGCAGCTCCCTCCTTGCATAATTTGTTCTGTTATCACTAGGTTGGGCACTGCTTATTAAGATTGTAGTTTAAAACTGTACTTTTTGTAATTTTAATAGTAATTTTACCATGTGGCTCTAATAGTGTATGTGTTTTGCTCCAGAGAAAAAATGGCTCAGGCATATGACTTTGCTCTGGATAAAATTGGCATGGAAATAATGTCGTACCAGGTATGTTTCTTTTCTCATTAAATATTTATTTGTGTTGTTTGATTATAGCTACAAACTAAATGTTCACTGCTCTGATTCTGTATATTTTTACATTAGATCTGGGTGGATTACATCAATTTTTTGAAAGGCGTGTAAGTACAAAAATCTGCCTTCTCTCTTAATTAATGCAGTGTTAATATTCGTACAGGTTGCAGTATGTAATTGCTGGTATGTTACTGTCTTGCCTCACAATTTAGTGAAGCAGTAGGATCCTATGCAGAAAACCAGAGGATAACTGCTGTGCGCAGGGTATATCAACGGGGCTGTGTGAACCCAATGATCAACATCGAGCAACTCTGGCGAGATTATAACAAATATGAAGAGGTAAATAAAAAGATGCCTGGTGTTCAAACAAGATTTAGCTATTTTCCTCGACCTGCAGCAGTGAGGTTACTTGAATAGCCTCTCCGCAAGCCCCTTCTATTGTAAGTGTAGACCTCTGAAAAACATTGTGAAGGGTGGACAGAAGGAGCAGGACAATAAAGTCTTCTTCTGTAAGCAGCACAAACCTGCCTCTCAAAATTGCTGGGACTTTTTGTTTGTTTGCCAGTACACTTTTGCCCCAATTCTAGGTGGATGAGGCTACTCCCATTGCCTTAAGGATGCTGGGTCCTCCAGCCATCTTTAGATTCTTCATCTGATGGTGTTCTTTGTACAGTGGGAAGGACCATCTCCCAGTGCCAGGAACAAGAGAACGAGGAGCTCCAGTGCACTGACTTGGGAGACCTGGGCCTAATCATATCATGGATACTTTAGTTGGGATTCCTGCATTGTGGGGGGTTGGACTAGATGATCCTTGGCATCTCTTCCAACTATAAAATTCTATGATTGTGAGGTTGGCCTTCTTGTGCTGATCTATGGGTACTCTAACTTTGACTCAAGAAAAATCACTCAGAAAGGAAATGAAGCTGCCATTCGATGTGGTAACAACGAAACTAACCAATCACCGTGCTGGATTCCAACTCCTACTTCACACATTAAACGCTCGCTTCCATCCGAGACTCAGGAAACACTGTGACAGGAAATGAAGCTGCCATTGGGGATAGCAACAGAACTGACAATTCACCGTGCTAGGGAAGAATTTTTTTTTTAGTTTCTTCTCGCATTAGATTCACAAAATGTTTAGGGGTATACGTACCCCTGCACCCCCCCAGAAAAAAGCACTGATTAATTACATTTGTGTACCACCTTTCTTTCAAGCAGCATAGTTTTCCTGCTCCCCATTTTATCCTCACAACAACCCTAAGAGAAAGCTTAGGCTGAGAGCGAGTGATTGGCCCAAGGTCAACAGGGATTTGAACCCTGGTCCCTGTCCAACACTCTAACCCAGGCTTCCTCCACCTCGGCCCTCCAGATGTTTTGAGACTACAGTTCCCATCATCCCTGACCACTGATCCTGCTAGCTAGGGATCATGGGAGTTGTAGGCCAAAAACATCTGGAGGGCCAAGGTTTAGGAAGCCTGCTCTAACCACTATACTACACTGCACCTCTCTACTGCTGTGTTCTGATACCCTCTGACATACCAAGACAGTCTTCCTCCCCTGCACAAGTTGAGCGCTGTCCCACATTTCTCTCCACCCTGGCTCAACCTTGCAAAGCAAACCTATTTGAAATCCTTAAATTTCCCATTGGCTTTGGATGGCTTCTGCACATTTTAACCCTACCACCCGAAGTCCATTTAGACCATCTAGTGGCCACATTTTTTTTCCATCTCTGGAGATGACAGCAGCAGGGATTTGAGTAAAATGTTGAGGCACAAAAAAAAAAAAAAAAAATTCTATGATTGTATATGCTTAATACCACTGGGCTTTAGAACATAGGATTGTCTCCTACTGAAACAGCAACTTTACCCTCTTTGAGCAGGACCCTAATCCAAATGACAAGTGTTTTCCCATTTTGTCTAGCAGAATAAAATTGTACATAACATAATAACAATAACCCCTCCACACACATTGTTGAAAAGGTCATAGATTGCTTAATCAGCCAAAGGCCTGGGAGAAGAAGAATGTTTCCGGCACGTGCCTAAAGATACGTAATGAAGGTGCCAGGCAAGCCTTCGTGGGGACAGCATCCCAAAAACAGGGAGCCACTGCAGAAAAAGCCTGTTCTCAAGTTCCATCCTCCAAACCTCTTGTGGAGGAAGCACACAAAGAAGGGCCTCAGGTGATGATTGCAAGGACTGGGTCAGTTCATATGGGCAGAGGCAGTCCTTGAGGTATTCTGGTCTTCAGCCATTTAAGGCAGGCTTCCTTAAACTTGACCCTCCAGATGTTTTGAGACTACAATTCCCATCATCCCTGGCCACTGGTCCTGCTAGCTAGCTAGGGATCATGGGAGCTGTAGGCCAAAAAACATCTGGAGGGCCAAGTTTGAGGAAGCCTGATTTAAGGCTTTATAGGTCAAAACAAGCACTTTGAATTGGGCCCAGAAACCAATTGGCAGCTAGTGTGGTCAGGCCAGGATTGGTGCTATAAATAAAAAAGCCCAAACACTTAAAAGATAAAACAATTAAAAACAATCAGAGTAAGGCCAACCCCACAGTAGACAGCATTAAGGGGGCATCCCTTGCCTTTGCTCTCCCACTGAAGTGGCTCTTCCCAAAGGGAGCCCAGCTTTTATTCCACCAGCCCAGCTAAATGCCCAGCTGGGAGTGAAGTTTCAGGTGTTGCTGGGAGCTGCCAAGTCAGGGCTTCCAGAGGCAAGAAAGCTCAGGAATCCCCCTGGGCAGCAGCAGGCAGCTAGTTCCCCCTTCAATGTTCCTGGGAGTCCTCCCTTTCCCACACAGGGGTGCTGTGCATTCAGAAACCCCCACAGCAGCCCAGCTTTTATTTCACCACTTACTTGGGTATAAGTACGAAGTGACAGCTTTCCAGTGCAATTCTATGTTGATTAATGCTATCTAAGTCTCAGTGAGTTCCATGATGCTTACAAATGAGGAAGCATGCATGGGATTGCAAGCCTACAGTGGTCCTGGGCAGGGCTTCACTTCTTGTTTTCTGTCTTCCAGGGAATAAACATCCACTTAGCTAAGAAAATGATTGAAGATCGCAGTAGAGATTATATGAACGCTAGACGTGTGGCTAAGGTACAAGCTCCCAGTTGTTTTGTTCCTTTTGTCTTGATTTAATACAGCATGAATATTTGTTGCATGCTTGAGCTGCAGCCGATTACGAAGTGGAGTTGATAAAAGGAGTAACTTTAAATATAAAGTTTTGTTTCGAAGCCCACCTTAACAAAACCTCTTCTCTGTTTCTTCCTGTCTCTACAGGAATATGAAACTGTGATGAAAGGTCTGGACCGCAATGCTCCTTCAGTCCCACCCCAAAATACTCCCCAAGAAGCTCAGCAGGTAGACATGTGGAAGAAATATATTCAGTGGGAAAAGAGCAACCCTCTACGTACAGAAGACCAAACCCTTATAACAAAGAGAGGTGACTGTAAATTTTTGTTGTGCTCCTTAGAAATAGTGCAAAGATCACCATAGTAATTAAGTTGTGCTGATGTTACTTTGGGGTGCAGGACTCTTACAAAATATACAAACCTAGCTGCCTGGACTGTGTACTTAAATCCCATTGATTGCAGTGGGCTTCGTTGCACTTTGCTTTTCTCCAGAAAGAAAAGTTTATACTTAGGTATTCCTAGCACTCCATAGGTAGATAATTTGCAAAAGGAACCTGTTGGTGCCTCTTGAAACAGTAGACATAAACTCTCATGGCTCAGGGTGAAAAAACATTTGAAATCTTATAAAAAGAACATCATGTTGGTCCTTTTGCCATTCAAGGGCATGTATAATGAGACTTTCCTGTGAGGAGAAAGCTCAGCGTTTTTTGACCACCAACAGTTTCAAAGTCAGCATTTTATTAGCTGGAGAGTGGTCAGGAATTATATCTCTGGAAATCTCTAAAGATGTTGATAGGGCATAGAATTGAAGAGATCATGTGGGTGGCTCTTTAAGAGACCTGCATTTTTGGTTACATTTGTGAATCATTGGTAGAAATGCATCAGTGATTCAATTTGTAAGGTTCCACCCACTAGGAATCTTAATCTTGTTTCAATGTCTTCCCATAGTGATGTTTGCATATGAACAATGCCTGTTGGTGCTGGGACATCATCCAGATATTTGGTATGAAGCTGCACAATATCTCGAGCAATCCAGCAAACTACTAGCTGAGAAAGGGGTAAGAGAAGACAGTAAGAAATCCTGCATTTTATGTACAGCATTTAAACATATCTATAGTTGGTACTAAACTAAATAAGTTGAACTTGGGTCCATTGAGATCCGTGTGAAGTTAGTCATGATTAAGTCAAGTCACAATTTCAGTGACGACTAAATGCAGCTAATTTAATCTGGATCCAGCCTATGTTTTCATTTGTTTGTTTTGTGGGACCTTGTTATTTGACAATGAAGTGGTGAATTCTATCAAAGTTGTATGGGATCATAAGCAAAAATATATCATCCCATTTTTAAATTGTGGGAGATCTTTAAAATAGAAAATAAAAATACCAAGTCCATACCAAGTAATTAAGTATTCTGAATTTACCATGTTGCTAAACTATATTCAATTTTTGCAATTAGCATGTGAAGTGAAATTGCATGTTTCTAATAAGATCCATTATTGTAGCTGCTGAGTTCTTGCTACAAGGTAACCCACTTGGGTTTACAATATTCCTGTAGAGCTGTTAATGAGCACAGAACTGAAAACTCTTTTTATTTTTCATACTAGTCCTACAGTTAGTTGATTTTCTCATATTTTCTCGATTCCAGGACATGAACAATGCTAAACTGTTTAGTGATGAAGCTGCAAATATTTATGAACGAGCAATCAGCACTTTACTAAAAAAGAACATGCTTCTTTATTTTGCATATGCAGATTATGAAGAGGTGAGTCCTTAGGTGAAATTCTTTCAATCTCCAGTTCAACCAGCTTCTTCTTTCTTGTGCATAATCTTGATTGGAGAACTTAATCTTGGCAAATTCAAATAAGCAGGTCTGGTAATAATTTTGAGCATAAACTAGTTAAACTAAACATGGGCTTTTTTTGTATTTTTTCAGAGTCGGATGAAATATGAGAAGGTGCACAGCATATATAATCGGCTCTTAGCTATTGAAGATATTGATCCCACTTTGGTATGTTTAGTCTTCATTGTTTCACCTTGTTGAGATGACTACAGTGGTACCTCGGGTTAAGTACTTAATTCTTTCCAGCGGTCCGTTCTTAACCTGAAACTGTTCTTAACCTGAAGCACCACTTTAGCTAATGGGGCCTCCCGCTGCTGCTGCGCCGCTGGAGCACAATTTCTGTTCTCATCTTGAAGCAAAGTTCTTAATCTGAGGTAATATTTCTGGGTTAGTGGAGTCTGTAACCTGAAGCGTATATAACCTGAGGTACCACTGTATAGGATAAAAAGTTGTGTATTTCTCTTTGGTCAGTTCCTAAAGTATTCCAGTTGAAAACGTATAGATAATGTCAGTCACATTTTCAATTTTTGTTATCAGTTGCCTTTTTTCTTCCAATTTTTTTTGGTACATTAATCAGCTGTTTTGCCATATCTGAGGTGTATAATTTGTGACTTGGTAAAATTTGAAAGATTTCATGTTGTAATCTGTTTCCAACCTTCCACTTAATTGAAAATAATTATGAGCAGAACTGTTGTTGACAATAAGAATGGCCTTGCTCACAAATAACAGCAAGCCAAACTTAGGAATGAGCAAGCATTCTGTTGCTTAGAGGGGGGAATGTGTGGCCTCTTTGCACCTCCGCTGGTTCTGCTGCTGTGGCCCTACTTAGAACTAACCATGGTTTGGCTTAGGGTGGTATTCAGACCTGGGCTCATGTTTTGTCTCATTTGAAACAAATCAAGAGTCACAACTATGCTTTAGAAGCCATGTCTTTAATATGGTGGTGACTTCTAAAAGGTGTTCCTACCTTTTCCACCTATATGTTTCAGGTATATATTCAGTATATGAAGTTTGCAAGGCGAGCAGAGGGCATAAAATCAGGCAGGATGATATTTAAGAAGGCACGAGAAGATGCCCGGACCCGTCATCATGTCTATGTTACGGCTGCTCTCATGGAGTATTATTGCAGCAAGGTATTATTGCAACACAGTGAATGAAACTTTTGCTTCAGCCTCTGGATTCTTCTGTCTACAACTAATAACGTTTTGAAATCTGCAGGACAAGTCAGTGGCCTTTAAGATTTTTGAGTTGGGGCTAAAGAAATATGGAGACATTCCAGAATACGTCTTGGCATATATTGATTATCTTTCTCATCTCAATGGTAAGTTTTGGGAGCTGGGATAATTCATTACACTGGACTCTGGGATTATAACTTTTTTCAAGACAAAAACCTTCTTTACCTGAAATTGAGCAGTTTGTTTGGAATGGACCTGTGAAAATTCAGAATTCGTTTACCACTGATATTGGTGGCATCCCTCTATATTATATCATCAGTGAGCAGATGGGACTTCGCTGCTCATTGTTTTGCATACTGCTTGCTTTGTCAGGTCTTTAGCCAATAATGTGTTGGGGAAAACTGACTTCAAGAGTGTGTAGATGGATGTTGATGCATCGTAATGTATAGCTTATATGTAGATAATTTGTATAGAATTGTGGCTAAGAATGTGAGCCGAGAACCTTCAATTCAAATTTCTCCCCACTCAGTAGTAATTGTAGGCAGGCTGCTATTTCCCCAGCTCTTCTCTCCATCAGTAAAATCAGGGTGATAGTGGGAGACACCCAACATTGCATGAGTGGATTTCTACTCCCCTTGCTCTCCTCTTTCCTGAAGTCCTCCACAATATCAAAATTCTCCTCTGGAGGGTTGGGTGAAATTAAAAGCAAACACCTGAGAACAGTCAAATCTCACAACTGTTCTCCAACTGGGTTAGCTTCGGACTTGTGCTGTGAGGAGTTCCACTTGCTTTTTGGGAAGGTGGCCAGGGCTTTCCTTCTTCCCTCTGCAGCCCTCTGAAAATCTGTTCTGGAGGTTTGTAGCAACCTCCAGAGGAACACAGGAGGTATGGGGCAATTGGTGAAAGGGAAAGGGGCAACTGGTGAAAATCATCACCACCACCTTTCGAGGAACATTTTGTGTATGGATGGAGTCTTGCTGTTTGCAGGCAGGAAACTCAGATCCAGTCCATAGACTGTTAATTTGAGTGAGAACTTCAGATTGAAAAATCAGCAGCCTGCAAGAACACAAAGGGGACAAAAAACCAATGGCCAGTATTGTCCTAAGCAGCTGCTTCTTGTTTAGTACTTAAGTGTGCTGCTGCTGCTGCCATCAATTTTTAAACAGAGTATTTAATTCTTATTTTATGGTTCTGATTGTTTTAATTCATTTTAGTGTTGTTTTAATTCATTTTATACCTACCTCTCAGCTGCAGTTGTAATTTGTGGGTGTGTCTTCTGCAGAGTAGAAGTGAGACTTCCGTAGCTTTTTCTAAAGCCTTTTTTCCATGTGTCTCTTCTCCCTGAGATTACTTTAGCAATAATGAAATTGGGGTCGCAAATTGGGTTTTTCATCTTTCACAGGAATTGAAATTATGTCAAGATATTGTCTCCCCCCCCCCGTTTTTTAAAATATATATTTCCAGTTTTTTTTAAAATATATATATTTAAAGCTTGTTTTCATCTTTCTTTTTTAATACTTTTTTTTAAAATAGAGGATAATAATACAAGAGTCCTGTTTGAACGAGTATTAACCTCAGGGAGCCTCCCACCTGAGAAATCTGGGTAAGCTTCGCCAAAGCTCCATTCCAAGTCGTCTGCTTTGCTGTACGTGACAACCCTTGTACAACATAGATATTATCACAGATTAATGAGGGGATGGTTGTTGCAGCCTGTACTGCCATTTTCGTCCTAAATAAGGAGCCAGCTGCTGAGAGAGAGAAGCCAGAGATTGTAAGAATTTTCTATGGAGTTCATTCCTTGGATGCCAGAACGTGCTCTAACCTCCATTGTGAAGATAACTGCTATATGGAGTGTTGTTGGAAAGTAGATTTGGCCAATATAGAATATAGACTCAGAGCACTTGGGGCATTTTTGCTTGCATGCATACACACAGGGGCTCAGATCTATACCTCCCTCCTGCTTTCGTTCCATGTTTACCCACGGAGATCGTCTCTCTTTGGCAAATGCCCTCCACAGCCTCATAGCCAACTCTGTGCTGCCTGAAGCCTATTCCAGGAAAAGTAGAATTTGGGAATTATGTAAGTGGTAGCTAGACATTTATCCGCTGTTACCATTTTTGTTTGTCAGTATCAGGTAGTAGTTTCTCCCAGCAACCACAGCTTCCAGTTACAGTGCAGTGTCATGCGGTTTTTGCATGCAGCTTTTTTCTTTCTACATTATGCCTCTAAGGACTCTCTCTCCTGTGCACCTGAAGCACCTAGTGAGCGGCACCAGCAACAGGGAACCAGTTCCTTTGCCTGGCACTCCTTGCCAGGGCTGCATGTACAATGCATACAGATGGTCTGCAGGCCCCTTTACCAATTCCCAGCTGTTTGGCACTGTAAACCACCTAGGAGTGAACCAGTGGGCTCCTTGCATAGTGTGTGTGTGTGTGACTGAGGAAGTGGGGAAGTGTGTGTGTGTGTGAGAGAGAGAGAGAGAGAGAGAGAGAGAGAGAGAGAGAGCGAGCGCGAGCAGGGAAGCGGGGAAAGATCTGTGCATGTTTCTGTGTCCATGAGTGGGGATAAGATTGGGGAGCAGGAAAGAGGGAGTCCAGACCCTACCTACTATCAGCATGCAGCTTATGAGTCGCTGGTTTGCTGCCCTGGATGTACACAGACTGGCCATTGCTGCCTTCTAGGGTGCCCTCTGGGTACAAAGCAGATGTATCCGGGGTAGCAAGCCACTGGAAAGAGCAGATGAGGGGGTTCCTTAGTCAGTGGGCAAGCAGCTGGCTTGCAGTGGATCGGGCCTGCTGGTAACTGTTGCAAGTGATTGCACTTATTGTAGGCCATGTCTGCTGAGCATGTTTTCTTTTGAACATTTGTTCTCTTTCTGTCTTTTCTTTCACAGAGAGATATGGGCCCGATTTTTAGCTTTTGAGAGTAATATTGGTGACCTGGCTAGCATACTTAAAGTGGAGAAACGGAGGTTTACAGCCTTCAAGGAAGAATATGAGGGCAAAGAAACAGCTCTACTAGTAGACAGATACAAGTTCATGGATCTGTACCCCTGCTCTGCCAGTGAACTCAAAGCTCTTGGTTATAAGGTATGGAGATGATGACATTCCAGAATGTTTAGTTGGAGAGGGAATGCAGTTCCATAGCATTGTTACTTGCATACCTTCAGTGCCGCTTTAAAAATGTTAAAAACCCATAACTCTCCTAAGCCTTTAGATGTCCATTCAAGCACAAGCAAAAACACCTTCTCTTTGTTTGGAATTACTATTCATTTCTGTTTCTTTTTTACTGTTTTTGTCACCATGTAGAGAACAGTTCATATTATTCCAAATTGGTGGCTATTTATAATTGATAAGCTATTTGTGGGCAGTAGCTCCCATCACAGAATCACAGAGTTGGAAGGGAGTTGGGAGATTATGCTGTCCAACCTCCTGCTCAATGATGGATATACAATGTAGGATGCAACTACCGCATCCCTGACAGATGGCCATTCAGCCTCTGCTTAAATAATCTCCAGCCAAGAAGGTCCCACCACCTCCTGAAGCAGTCTGTTGCACTCTTCACATGGCAGGTGCGATTTTCTTTCTCATGTTGAGAAGAGAAAGATTGCCATTTTGGAAAATCGCATCAGCTGCATAGTATATGGTTTAACACTTCATAGCAGTGGAACAAATTAAACCACCTCCATGTGGTACCTGTAAGGTGAAGTCCAGCTCAACAGAAGATGTTAAAAAGCCAGCATTAAATCCATTCCAAGTTTTACTCCATTCAGGTTCTAGACTGCTGCCTGCTTTAAAAAGTATCACTGACCACATCCTTCCCATGTGACCCCAGCTCAAAATACTCTTAGCTAGTTGCCTGCCTACGTCTTTACATATGAAGTGCTGGTGCATTGATCTTACTGTTTCCTAGCCAAGTTCCTAAATCAATATGGAGCTAGTTTCTTGCTCTATCTGTTATGTTTCAAGTTTTTGATTCTGTAAATTGGAATTTAATAATGCATTGCCTGTATTTTTAATATTTTGCATTGTTTATTGTAAATAATTCTAGGCAAACTTTTATTACAAAGGCGGTTGATAAATTTTAAAATTATGAGCCGACGGAAAACTTCTCTTTCATAAAATTGGGCAGGGTTTGGTCTGGTGTCCATAGTTGCTTTATGCAAACAGAGATGCTACTCTGGACCAGCCTATGTTGAGCATTATGGGATCCCCTCCTGCTTGTGAGCTTCCCATAGGCACTCAGTTGGTCACACGATAAACAATATGCTGGACTATAGATCAGCCCTTGGATTGATCCAGCAGAGCTGCTCTCATGCTATTGATGCTTCTTCTCATGCTGTGAACTTCCAGGATGTGTCTCGGGCAAAGCTGTCAACCATAATTCCAGATCCTGTTGTGGCTCCTTCAATAGTGCCTGTGCTAAAAGATGAAGCGGACAGAAAACCAGAGTATCCAAAACCAGATACCCAGCAGATGATTCCATTTCAGCCAAGACATTTAGCACGTAAGCGAATATCGAGTCATGTAAATGAAATAGAAGTCTACCTTATTCTGATTGGCTGTTTCTTTAAAAAGCTTCAATTCATTCAGTTCATTCTCATTTGGGCACACAACTAGAATGTTTTATACCCTTCCAATTCTCTGTGAAACTGGAAAGTACAATAAACAAAAGTTTGAGGTTTTGGTTGGTTCTTGTATAGTGCTTGTAAGGTCAGTTACATCAACCAAAGGAACTCCCATCAGCATGCAGTTGACTCTCCTTAGTTGTAAGAGCCATGAAGACTTAAATGTGTTTTGTTTTATTATTTACTAGCTCCAGGTTTGCATCCAGTCCCTGGTGGTGTCTTTCCAGTCCCACCTGCTGCTGTAGTTCTAATGAAGCTTCTCCCACCTCCCGTGTGTTTTCAGGTTGGTCATGAGATCCTGAAATGTTTTAATGACTTTGCAATCTGGTTGTGTTTTGCTTCAATGCATTAAACATTTCATTTTCTTTTGTCTCACTGGTTTTTATCATAGCGTTTCCTGTTAAATGGTCCATCTTTTTTTCTCTTGCAGGGCCCCTTTGTGCAAGTGGATGAACTCATGGAGATTATCAGGAGATGCAAACTCCCAGACAGTAAGTTGATTTTGTCCTTTAAAATGCATGGTTGCATCACTAGACTATACTACTTCACTTAAACTCTGAAGTCTTGGGGGTGGCTATTTGAGGTATTGACAATCAACACTATTTAAGGTTAATGACATTGCTGTATGTGTGTACTCAAATTAGCCAAAATAGTATTTTTTCTAATTTTCAGGACAGTGAGTAAATATTTAGCGGCTTCTGTAACTACTGTTAATAGAGAACTCTGTCTTGAAGTCCACAGGATTAAAAGCAAAAGGAAGTGGCTGTAAGACAGAAGCTGAAATTACAAAGCCATGCTTTTTTTAATATATGTGTGACTCACTGGCTATATGGTTCTAACAACCACCCCATAAAAGATAAAAGTAGGATTTTGCACCCATAATGACACAGGAATATTCTGTTGTTGAAATCAACAGAACTGAAGATATTTGTGGAATTAATTCAACACTCAGTTTTGTTAACTGTGCTGTTTTTTATTTATTTTCAACAATAACCACTTCGCATTTTCAGTAGCAAATTTGTTTCTGCATGGTTGGCACCTGTTGAAGGGTGAATACTACAATTTGAAGTTGAGGCCCACATTTGTCAACACAAAATGGACACACACGCAACTTCTTGGTGCAAGTCAGTTATCCCTATAGACAGTGCTTTTTTCTGGGGGGACGCATACCCCTAAACATTTTGTGAATCTAAGTTTGGCCTCATTGAGGGGCAGTATTTCAATATGAGTAGGAAAATGAAAGTACCCCTAAACTTTTATTTTTAAAGAAAAAAAGCACTGCCTTTAGATGTGCCTTTGAGCTTTAGTGTGTAATGTCAAAGAGATGGGCATACTTTGAATAAATCAGCAAGCAAGGGCTATAGCAGATAATTATATACCACAATATTCAAATGTGTGTTTCAAGTATAGCTCTTCATCAACGCAAAATCTAATGTAAACCCGCAATATTCAATCCCCCAGTGGAATATCATTTCATAACCTAATTGGTTTGCTAGAGGATGTTGCTCTAGTTCTAATATTAAAAGATTACATCGGTACTTGGCCTTTGTAAAGAGCTGTACTTGAAAAACATGACACTTGCATAATTTGAGTATACTTATTGAAAGCACACCAGTGGCTTGTTCTTCTGTGATCTTATTTGAAACAAGAATTTCAAAATGAAATATTTTCCAAAAGCCATTCTCATCTGTTTCCTGCTAAACATTTTTTAATTGCCCTGTGAGTTATTAAATGGAGGGCTAGTATGGACAATTTAATGCACAAACAAATAATAAAATTAATGAAGCATATAATGGTGGGCACTGTCATAATTCTTCAGCCCACATAATTCTTTCTAACAACAACTATTTTTCTTCCCTGTTCTAAAGCTGTGGATGAAGCTGTGCGAATCATTACTGGGGGACTGCCAGACTTAACAATGGAAGGGAATGGACCTTTGGAAAATAATGCCCTTCTTAATAAATCTGTAAAAAGACCAAATGAAGATTCAGATGACGATGAAGAAAAAGGATCAGTGGTTCCTCCAATTCACGACATTTACAGAGCACGACAGCAAAAGCGAATCCGATGAGACATGTTGCAGTCACAATGATGAAGGCTAAAGGACTTGTAACAATTGTTTTCCTTCTACAAAATCAAATGTTTAAAAGGGATTGAAGTTTCTAACAAGCATCTTGCAACTGAGGTTGTTTTATTACTGTGGCGCCTCTTTTTTACCAGCTGATTCTTCATCAGAAAAGAAAAGGGCAGGTGAATTTTACAACAAGCAAATTTGAGCTCCAGGTTTTGAACACAATTTGTGCAGAATGTCTGAATTGCATTTGGTTGCTCTTCACATGTGTATCCCCATCTTACCACTTGAAATCTTGCAGGGGTCCTGACAGTTTTATTTTAAAAACTGGATAGCATAAAAATTGTGAAATATTTTAAATTCACACCTCTGGAAAACGAAGTTGTTCTCAGTTTGCTCATTTAGTGTCTGTCCTGCCTTATTCTTTGTTTTTATTTATGGCAGAATGAATGGAAACTGTTTTTTGTAGTTTAAAATGGAAGAACATTCCTTTCCAATAAAGGATCTCTCCATAACGTCATGCCTCATACCACTTTATTTCTAGCACATGGGGATAGAGAGGGGTGACAGCTCTTTCCTACCTTTTTGTTTGCAGTTTGTCTTTCCTTCCCCTCCCACTATAGGCAGTAGTGGTGGGGAGTTAAGTACACCAAGCTCCAGGATTCCTCCTGTGGAGAAGGCAAAGGAACAAGGGAACCCAAAATTCCCCACACCACTGGCAGAACTTGCCCAAGATGTACCAGACAGCCTCTGACAACCTGGGTACAGTTGCTTTGATGGGGCTCCCTTCTGGATACTGGCGTACCCCTTGCAGCTGGCCTTCTAACAGCTTTATTAACTTATTGCAGTGCAATTTATTATTCAGAAAATTCGTATCAACATACATGACAAACAAAGCAAATGCCCAGGATGTCATTATTTCATGTTATAAATATTAGTAGTGGCTGATCTGCAGCAAGAGCCCTCTTTACATCTGATTCAGCTAAGAGCTGAGCCTTCATGACAGCACTGTAGTCATGGCAAATTTTATTATATGCTTTCCTAGGGTAGCTTCCATGAATTAAAATGCAGTATATGGGTTTGCCTCCTTCTAAAAGGCTATTTGATATATTGGTCTTAAATAAAATTTTCAGTGCAGTCTACAATAAAATCTACAGTAAACAAAAGAGAAACAATTAGGTAAATCATTATTTCGTTTGTCTGTGGACCAATTTCCTTGTTTTTGAAGGCTTGGCCATTTTTTAAAACATGGCAACAGTGACATTGCTCCTAAGAAGCAATATTGTTGAAACAAAGCACTCACGGTTGTTGAGATTTAGCTACAGTGAATCCCTAAATGTTCTTCCAAACTGGGAATATACTGCCTTTCTAGCAAGGTACCCAAAGCCTTTTACAGTTTTAAAAACTGTCTCGGGGAGAATGGTTGTAATCCAGACAACCATGTCAGCAAGAACCGGTTTAATTCTACCGCGTGGCAATTAACACCCTGAGACAAACCGCTGCATTCAGAATGCTACAAGCAGTTGATCTTTACAAATTCCAGCTGGACCTGAACTGATCTGAATGAACCAGACTAAGGTACGTTCTGAAGCTTAGTTATCCACCAGCTTCTTACCTTCTCAAAAAAAGTATTAGAATATATTTAAATGCAATTTTATACTGGAATTTCTAAAAGTGTAATTAATGCAGAAAGGGATGAAATTATGGGGATACATGTACTGGGGATTATTGCAAGGTCACGTGCCGTATCCAGCCACATTCAAACAGAACGCTACCCATCCTACAGGTCCTTAGACATCCAGGGGCCAGTAATAGCCAACACACAGGTGTGCTCTTGAGGTTACAAATACAGTGGTACCTCAGGGTTACAAACTTAATTTGTTCTGGAGGTCCATCCTTATCCCAAAACCGTTCTTAACCTGAGGCACGCTTTTGCTAATGGGGCCTCCCACTGACACCGTGCCACCGGCCGCACAATTTCCGTTCTCATTCTGGGGCAAAGTTCTCAACCCGAGGTACTACTTCCGGGTTAGCGGAGTTTGTAACCGGAAGTTTTTGTAACCCGAGGTACCACTGTAACCACCTTCCTTATGTGGCAAGTGGCACTGCTTCTCAAGTAATCTACTAGCTAAAATAACTCAATGGCAATAATGCATACACAGTAACAGATGGCATGGGGGAGTCCACATCACTCACCTGCTTCTGGTTGTGTCACTGCTGTATACCAGGACAGAGGGACAAGGCAGAGGTCTCTCTTATCTCACTGTCCCTCAAATCTCTTTATACCAGTATGCAGCGGCACTGCAACAGAAGGTGAGCACTGCAGTCCCAACCAACCCAACCACTGCTCCACATACCAGCAGTTCTTGTAGAATTGCACTTTAAGCTATAGCTCTTTCTTCCAGGACTTGAACACATACATAGATATTAAGGGGGAATTAAAAAGATAAAATACTTGCCTGCAACAAGTAATGAAAGGAGCAAAAACTGCATACAGACCAGAAAGAAGAATGGCGGGCAATCGCTGTTTATCTGTAACTGCAACATGTAAAGTACACACAAAAATTTATCACAGATGAGTTACAGTCTCACATTAGTGGTGCATAGATGAAGTAAACAGCAGCAACATAAAACACATAAGAAAAACAGTAACAATATCACATTAACAGCTTCAAGGAAATACAAGTCAGACAATATTAGAAGAATACTGAATTTCCACCTTTACCATCCCCACCCCTTTCCAACTTGTTGTTGCAAATTATCAAGCAGCACTCTTTTCTTTAAATGGTCAGATGTATAGGAAGCTAAGCATAAAGGAACAATTTGACTAATATAACAGAGGAATAATTATTTTACTTTGGCAATTCTAGACCCGAGAGGTAGAACCTAGCCAAAGTTAAGCACAGTGAAGTCTATATCAATGGGAGAGGTGACTGTTTTTTGTTGGGTTGTAGTCAATGTTGTTCCATGTTAAGAACACTGATTTGATACTTTGTGGTAGCCCAGGGTATCTTATCTACTCATCTATCTCCTGAGTGGAGTGAGCCTTGCCAGGTTTAGGCCTCACCAGCGTGACAACACATTGGGAAGGAGGAGGAGATCTAAGCATTCCTTAATCTGTCCTGCCTTTACTGCAAGCTGCACATGTCTTTGCTTTCTGCTTCTATGTCCTTCTATTCTGACTTTCTTCAGGCTTGTTTGTTGTTTTCCTTCTCTTTTTCTTGTCCTAAGAGAGACAGAGAGTGGCTGGCTGGCTGGCTGGCTGCTTGACCAAGCATCTGATTGCATTCAGAAGTGTCTGAGGCATTTATGGTGAGTGCCATTTGTCTCTCATCCCCAGTCGCCATCTTTGTCTGCTGGAGCAATGGTTTGCATCCCAAGGGAAATGCAGGAAGTGGCCCCTGTTGACCTTCCCAATAAAAAAGCAGCTGCCAGAGGGGAAGCAGGCCCTGGACTGCTCCTTCTGGCGTTCCATGGAGGACACAGAGCAGCTCGGAATGCCCAGAAGATTGGAAGCACCTTGGCAGAGTGTCAAAAGCTGGCAGAAGAGGGGGTTCCTTTAGAATAGCTCCTGGCCTCACTTTCCCACATCCCAGAGGCAGAGAGGTTCACCCAATTCTGGATCTGCAAGGCCAAAATGCTGACCTGTCAAGGCCCATTTGGTGCAGCTGGGCTGCATGGCACTGCCACTACAAGAAGTGAGGGAACCTGCTGTGAATATTCTGAGGAACCTGAGCTGGGCAGCCTGGGGTAAACAATGGATGAAGGGCCCTGGACCAGGAGGTGGGGTGCTAATGGCTTCCCTCCTTGCTTGGGGACCATCTTGACTGTGAGTTCTGGAAGACCTGCTACTCAGGATACTTACAAATCCTTGGGGTGGGGTTCAGGATTTTTTGTTGGGGGGGTCAAGATTTAACTTTTGAGATATTAATTTTGCTGTTTTTGATAAAGTGGCACCTCTGGTTAAGAACTTAATTCGTTCCTGAGGTCCATTCTTAACCTGAAACAGTTCTTAACCTGAGGTACCACTTTAGCTAATGGGGCCTCCCGCTGCTGCCGCCATCGCACGATTTCTGTTCTCATCCTGAATCAAAGTTCTTAACCCAAGGTACTATTTCTGGGTTAGCAGAGTCTGTAACCTGAAGTGTCTGTAACCTGAAGCATCTGTAACCCAAGGTACCACTGTACTGATTTTTTTTTTAATCTTTCGATTATGTTGTGTACATTTTATTTATCACTCATGGCTACTTTTGTTATGTTTGCAGTTATGTAATTATTTTCATGTAAACTGCTTTCAGAATGGTTTTAACTATGGATAGGCAGCATACAAATAAACAATGATAATGATAAATCTAGTTGAAGTGCTGTTTGCACCTCTCACAGGTGTGACCAAGTTACCTGACCCAAAGCCAGTGACTAGATAAGTTCCAGTTCCTGTTCCATTTACATCTGTGACCAAGGATGAGTGGAACTCTCTGCTGAAGTACAAAAAATATGCTTGTTTTGGCTAACAAGTTTTATGTTCTACTTCTTGACATTACAGAACTGCTGAAAGTACCTTCCTGTTGCTAATCTACTCTGCCACACTTTACACCTGAAAGATGACCACGCACAATTTGGAGATGCCACTGAGACATGTCTAGATTTCACCCTGTGCACCTGAGCTCCAAAAAAACAACTGGTTCATCTAGGGACACTTCTGGACACAGTAAGAGGGTTTATCCCCTCAGCATTGGACAGAGTAATCTGAATTAAAGCAGCCACCAGAAGTCCCTTAACAGCAAAAAAAGTGGTCATTACGCAGCTGTCCCATGCCTTTGGGTGTGCATATCAGCATCACAAGCACCACCTTGGGCAAAGCTCCATGCCAAGCCATCACAGTGGGTGCTACTGCCTTAGAAGCACTCACCAGTGACTGGTGACAGCAGGAAGACACCATCACCTCACGATTCCACATCATCTCTGCTGGCCACTGGCGGACAAATAGCCACAGCTTATGTAAAGGCACTCCCCTTGAAGATCCAACTCGAGCCATCATCACATTGGATGACAGCCTGCTGGGCTGGGTCTCTGTCAACATCTTTCAATTCAGGCCCTGTGGTCTCCTGTGAAGGTAGCCTATTTTGGGGTGGGGGGGTGTCAACTAGCTCAAACTCACAACAGCCTACCTGGTGATTCAGCACATCTCCCCTCAGTTTTGCCTTATTCACATCATTTTGTGCATAGACAATGCTACAGACAAATCATATTTGAACAGGCAGGGAGGCAGAACAGGGAAAGACCCGCAGTAAGAAGCATCCCTCCTTACTGCAGAGAGATTTGAGGCAGACAGATTCCCTTTTCGTGTCCTTTCAGCTGCCCACTCTGGGGCACAGGATTTCCACATCCATCCTTGCTAGGTGGGCTAAGGCTTGCATTGTCTTTGCATACAAAATTCAAAAGATTCCAATACCAAAAAATGTGGCAGTGAATTCCACAAGGGCTGCAGCCTTTCCACCAGTGCTCCTTTAGAGCAGTGCTCCCCAACCTTGGGCCTCCAGCTGTTTTTGGACTACAATTCCCATCATCCTTGACCACTGGTCTTGCTAGCGAGGGATGATGGGAGTTGTAGTCCAAAAACAGCTGGAGGCCCAAGGTTGGGGAACACTGCTTTAGAGGATATCTGTAAAGCAGATATGAGTGTAGCCCCAAAAACCTTTTGTCAAACACTATAAAATTGACAAGTATGTCATTTAAAAGTATGTCAATTTTACAGTAAATTGACAAGCATGTCTCAGCTGAGGTTGAGGCTGTCCTTCAGCAGATCTTCCCAGATCAACTGTCAAGGTCCTGCCCAAACTGGGATTAGCCATTTTATGTCCCAACCAGACAGGCTCACTCCCGCTATGAGTGCAATTTGCACCTGCCTGAAATACAGGTCTCCATAGTGTGAGTGAGCTAGTTAAGGGCCACACCCATATTCAATGAGTGTAATAAAATTTGAGAGTTGATTGGAAGTATCACCTTGTTGGGATTAGGTTGGCTGCGTAATTATCAAGCCTTGCTTTCAAGGCAAATTTACTCCTGTTGCGGTTCTACTTTTGGGGAGGGACGATTGTATGTTTGTCCTTGTTACTGTTCTATTTCATAACCATTTGAATTTCAGTGCCTGCTTTCCACTTGTCGAGTCCATAGACTGAGGAATGCTGGGAGCTCCGCCCCCTTCCCAAGACATTTGTCTTGCCTTTGCTGCATTGGTGGGTCCTAAAACCCATCCTCACAGACTCACTCAAACTTCATAGATCTACGTTTCAGGTAGGTGCCAACCACAGTTTTTCACAGAGGAAAACCTTTTAGCCCTATACCTTTGCCGTATATCCAGACATCACGAGCATCACATTTCAAACACAATGGACCGAATAGTTAAAGAGAACCTCTTTTAAAAAAACCCATAAACAGAGGAAGTTTCATCAAATAATGATGGGTGGGGGCTGGTCTGCTTTACAGCAATTCTATTATTCAGAGAGATTACTTAAGCACTAATGTAGAGGCTTTTATCTTTGTTCCCTTTTAAGATTAAAACAGCTACTAAACATTCAGGAAGCATACTGTGCATTGTGGCTTTTCAACCAAAAGCAATTTCAAAAGCCAATTCACAGAATTATTTTTGCCTCCCATATTTGTGACTCAACATACACATCCATGTCTCTGATGTTAGAAAACTTTTAACAAGAGAGCCGACCTAAGAAACAGTTAATGTCCTCAAGTATCCAATAAGTCACATGTTTATGAACTCCTGAAAAAAACACTTGTTTTAAAACCTAGCAGAAAGTTTTCTATAAACTCCATGGGACATTAAAGGTAGTCCACTTCCTACTATAAATTTAAAATCACTAACATTCAAATAAAAGTATTGCATCCAAGTCCAGCAAGGGGGATGCGACGGGCAGAGGGAAACTTCCTGCCTGTGGGTTGTCTGCTGGATCAGGCCTTCCAAAGGCTACTCTATGAGGTAAAAGGGTGGGGAGGAGGAATCCACCATGATCAGTGCCAGCAATCTCTCTGCAAGCACACATAGAATCATAGAATAGAATCATAGAGTTGGAATAGACCACAAGGGCCATCGAGTCCAACCCCCTGCCAAGCATGCTAAGCTGTAGGCTCATAATGTACAACTATGTACATAGAGCACTTGGATTGGGGACACAGTATTATATTACTAAGCTAGGAGCTAGCCCAACTTCTCACCTAAATCACAGGCTTTTATCATATGTAGATAAATTCCGGAATGAACTTAAATGGATACTCCATTATCCAACTTTTTCAGATATCCAAAGTTTTCCTCACCTATATTAGCATTTCATGCCTCCAGCAATACAGGAGGAAGAAATTCCCTCATCAGACTTTTTGTTTTCACTTCGAAAGGAGAAACAATATATAGAGTCTACAGAATGTGAATACTGCAGTAGAGAAGAACCAGAAAACACTCTACAAAAATATAGTTATATACGCTTTTGGTAGAATATCTGCAGTTCAGAATAAAATACTTTAGGGAAAAAAACCTGGCTGGCAGAAGGACTTAAGAGTGTTGCAGACTGCATATAAAGTGCTTTAACTACCAATATCCAAGTTTTGAGTATCTGGAAACTGAAGTTACTGATACAATTTTTGGGATGATCTTCAGAACTATTTAAAACTTAATATAGAAAGAGAAGTTTACTAGCCCCTTTTGCATCAGTGTACATGCTAATAGGATAATTTCAACATCTAACATTTTAGTCTTACCCCCAAGCCCATATTTCAAAAGTCAATACACCATCAGTTCTTACTTGCTTTGAATTAGTAAGTACTAAACTGGTGTATTTTCATGTACCTTTTACATCACCTGATGTATCCACTCACCACTCAACCATCGCTACTGTATTAGTGAAAGATTCCCAGCAAAGCTGTTGCCCAAGGATTGTAAGCTTTCTACAACACATACAGTTGACCACCCTGATCCAAATAACAGTGATCCATGTAAAGAAGCACACTTGCATACACAGCAGCCAGAAGGACCAGGATGGGATGGGAGCAGCACATCTCTGCACTAGTCCAATGGCTGACTGGCATTGGCTTCGAGCAGTTATTAAACTTGGGTGAAAGCAGGGGGAAGTGAACATTTAAATCCTGGAACTTCTCGCTCTACCTCCAACACACAAGTGCCTAAATAAAACTGTGCTGTGTTGAATTTTACTTAAGTTCCTAAACAGGACTGGTCTGTGTTTGAGGGGGTCTGGTGGGGAATAGGGGATACCAAGACAGACTGTGGGGATCCCCAGGAAACAACTGGGGTCTGAAAGAGGCCTCTGTTTCCCAACCCTCATCATTCTGACAGAAAGCATGAGTGCAACAGCCTTCTCCTGCCCTATCTTCTTTAGGGCAGCATACCAATGAGTCTGACATCTTCCCAGTTTTGCTCACAGATAGCTAAGATGAGTCTTCTTCATTCAGTATTTTGCTGAGAACTGCGTCATAGTAAGGACTGAAGACCATCTTGTTGTAGTCAACAAGGCGAACGTACTTGATAGCAATTTCCTCCAGCTCTTTCTGAATAGGGCCTAATCCACCAGGAATGGCAGGAAGAGATTTCTGATGGCCAGAAGCAAGGTAGCTCTCCAGAAACGACTGGATTCTTGAATCTTGAGAAGGGAAGTAAATTATTAGTAAGACTTACTGAAAGATCCAAAATTCTTCTTTTGGTAATACACATCAAATAGGCCCATAATGGTGCTTTATTTTCATACAACCGTCTTATTGCAATCACAGACAGAACAAAATCTGCTCCTGCCGCTTCCCTTTACAGGATCCAGCACTTAAGCATAGTTTCCCATTACATGAAAACTTTGAAACTGGCTTTTAGCTTCCAAACAAGACAGAGTCATTCAACCAAGGTTTAATGTTGGTTTAATACCTTGGCTTGTTTTGAAGCCATTAGTCATGGTTTCAGGATATGCATATAATAAGAAGCTATGGTTCAGTCCTGGCTTGCTTTTGCAGCTCAAGAAAGGGAGGAATGAAGCAGCAAGAAAGGGGCTGCCTACAAGTGCATACTGTTCGTGCATATCCTGGCTCTTGAAACCAGGATTTTTGGCTTAGTCTTATGATGCGCACATGCAGCCAGTACAATCTCTCATCTCAAAACGAGTGCATTCACCCATTTGAAGCATTACTATCCCCTTCACTTTACAAAAATAAGATATACCCATGTCCTCAAATGTTATGTTTGACTTAGACATGCAGAACAATGGATTTTGCACAAGGGAAAAGAGCAGTCATCTGATCTGCAAAGCATACCTATCAGTTTGCACACAGTGTTATTAGGCTTGGCCACAGCCTGGATCTGTCCTTTAAGCTCCGTCTCCTTCTCAAGTGTGAAAGGTGTGAATCCATGTTGGGAAAGGCAGCTATTAACTTCAGCACAAATCTTTTCACTTATGACAGCCAATGCTTCACTCAAGTTGAAGGAGCTAGAAAAAGATGATCAAAATTCTAATATGTTTTAACAGCTCATAAGCAACATGGAATTGAACTGACAGGTTAGCTAATGTATGCCAATCAAACATGAGCTATATGGGTAAAAACCTTACAGACTGAGGAAACATTACTGGAGGAATCATCACACACCAAACCACTTCCTTTTTAAAGAGGGAATTTGAGTTCTCAAAGAAACAAGCGGGTGTGTCTATATTGGGGGGGGGGGTGTCAGCAATTTCCTAGACACAACTGGGAGCTACATTAAGAAAAATTCAGACTCATAACTCTTCAGAATGCATATGTTTAAATGTTCTCCACACAAGAAACTACCTATAACCCTTTCCCATTCTGTTTTATTTCTTACATGTGAGAGTATCAGGAGATTCCCACAGCCCTGTAATCTGAAGTGATATAATCAAAGGTTACTCCAAATGTGAAGATTAGAATTATCCGAAAGGCTAATTATTCTTCATAATGGAAATTCCTCATAATTTCTAAAGCCTTTTACTACTTGGAGAAGTAGAGAAGAATGTGCAAGTCTCCTTTCAAAACAGGCCCAAGATCTAGTTGAAACTGACGTCTATATCATTCTGCATCACCCTATAAAGGGCCTCAAAGGCGCACGATACTCACGGGAGGTGTAGACCTGTCAGCAGTACCCGGATAACCATTTTGAGATTGGCCGTAAATGCTGGCAAGCCTGAAAGCGCTGTGCCTGCAGCATTGAATGTTACCAGAAGAATCGCTCCAGTTAAAATAAGCTGGTCCAGTTCCAGCTGCATTTCCTGGAAGCGGCTCTGGTCCATTAGCACAGTCTGAAAAAAATTTTTAACACAACAGAGGATAGTAAATTCAGAGTGCAGGGAAGAAGGCAAGATGATGTAATAGTTATACAGTGTAAGCTCTCAATGTCCATTTCCTAGTTCAAGAGACTGTCTGGTGAAGGAGACAGTGCTTCTAAAGATAACGGCAGCACCCTCACCTCAATCCTCTGGTCTAGCCAGGTGCTGTACTAAGTATCCTTGCAAGAACAGCCGATCCACCCAAGCCTCAGCAAAACATGTCAGGTTAGCCCTTTCACCCATGATAAGATTGCAGATGAGCATAGACCTCTTCCAGACTGACTAACAGCTCCACTTGACAAGAGGACTCAGTGTATAAGCGACCAGGAACTTCTGGATGAGCAGAGGGCCCAAAAAGAGCTGATAAAGACCAAACGCCAAGACCTCTAGCCCAGATGGTAGTCAGCCTCTCCATTTAAACTATGCCTCCCCGCTGCCCACAACCACTGAGGATGAGGCAGCATTATGGTAGCTGCCTGCCACACACAAGCACATCTTGACACCATCAGCCAAACGCACTGTATGCAGCATAAAGATTAGGTTCAAAGACGATAATCTAAAGACCAACAACAAGCACATCCCACACTGCCACACAATCCCATACTCATCCCCATCCTTCGCATTCAAAGGGGCTTGCCCAACCGAGTTCAAGTGTATGTCTGAATGCACCCTACCAATCCAAACATTGTTATAGTAACTGCAGAGAAGCAAATAGTTACCTCTGGAAAAGGCTTTTGCAGATGATCCCATTTGAGGAGCTTAAGGTATGCATGATTCTGTACAGCAACAGGACAGAGCACAGGAGCAGTACTGGTAGACGTGGCACCATGATCAATAGCAGGCACCATTCTGGATCTCAGGTCATCTGCAGCTTCTTGCAGCCACTCAGTGACGAAATCTAAGGAATCTGTTTTGAGGGAGAAACCAGACCATTTTCTCATCAACCCATTTTCCTGCCTATCCATTTGAAATATTTTTATACCGCCCTTGGTCAAAACTGATTGCACAGAATGGTTTGCGCGATATATGAACAAAATAAAAACAATCAAAACAGTTTAAAACAAAAGACATGAAAACAGCTGACAAATAAGATGAGCAGGTGCAAGATGTGAAACAATACTTAAAATGCCTAGGGGAATAGAAAGGTCTCTCATCATCACATCTAAAATATTTCATACTTGGAGCTATGAAAAAGCCATCTCCCTACTTCGGATCAGCGTCACCTCCAATGTGAAAGAAATTTAGGGAAGGGTGTCGGTCCTTAGGGAAGATGACCTTAAGAGTGAAGGCATGTTGAATAATTCTACCCAAGGGCCTATTGTTTCTGGATTTTCAGCTGACTGAATTTTTTTAGCTGGTTAATAATTTGGCTTTAAAAACTGAAATAGATATCCAAACATTTGCACTCTGAATGTTTATTTTTATTAGCACTGCTCATTTTCCCCTAATACAGTTATGCTAAAACTGCAATATTTAAACTGCATTGCATGCTCCCATTCATGGCACTGAGAAACACCCAAAGTTTATGCAGAAGGACCTCCCATATACAGCTCATCAGACATAAGCCCCACTGAGTTCAGTAAGCTTTCTGCCGTTCATGGGGAGTTATTTTGGCATAATTGTCAAATTAAGGACTGAACAGTTATGATGAATCAGCTTAATAAATTTGCCTTTTAATAAACAAAAAGCAGATCATTTAGCAATGCAAAATAACAAAAACCGTACTTGGTTGTTTCTCATAAAGTTCCTGAAACTTCTTCCTTTCATATTCAACTGACTGCTGCATTAAATGTGGCCTTATGCTGGTGACAGCAAAATTAGCCATGTCCATTTTCATCAAGTCCAACACAGAAAAAATCTCTCTGCAAAATCAAGAAGACATTTCAAGCAGGTGTGTGTAGTTATTTAAGGACATTTATAAATCGTTTAATGTTTTTTTAAAAAAAATCAAAGCAATGCACAGTATTTTAAAAAACGGTATCAATAAGAAATACAGCATGTCTAAATGTCTGCAGTAAATCAAATCACATGCCCTCAAAAATTGCAATATTTATCAAATGTAAAAGAAGGAGATAAAACAAATGAAAAAGTGAAGAGCTAAGGGGGCAAATCATATTTAAGTAATCTAACTGAAGAACTATGTGGGGAGAACTAGGAACAATCCCCCTTTAAAGAACAGGAAGAAATGCAGTGCTTTCTAGAGAACAATTCTGTTAGCATATGTATTATATGCTAAAAATTACCGTTAGGAGTTTTTCAGATCACTATTGCCCAATTCTTGCTTAGATGATAAGCCTGAGACAGCTTCCGACTGCAGCTGGGGCTTACATGAATTAATGCTCATCTTTACAAAAACAGAGAGCCCCCTCCCATACAGAAATTACAATGTCAGGCAGAAGGCCGGACTAGAATACTTTCCCATGCATCTGGTATCCAATGTGGAAAAAAATCTTTCTCCTCCTTTCCCTTTCCCTTCATCATTGAGGAACATACAAGCAAAATATGAATGCCCACCTCAGTCTGACATGTCAACTAAAGCTGTAGGGAGGGATAGACATAAATGCCACATTTTGTGTGTATTTAGGAGTATACATGATTTTATTTACTTTCTAAACTAGCTGGGGAGGGAAAGCCCAGTTGCAATGAATGCCTCTATTAAAGTAGTCTTGGAAAAAAATATTCCATATTATTCACTATTCTTGCACTTGCATTTTCACCAGTAACTTCTCCATCAAACAATCATGAACACACATGTATTATTTCATTGCTACATGCATAATTTTTGTATTCTGCCAATGGTTATCAAAAACATTCAAAGTATTTTCCCATAGGCAGACACTGATTTAATGTGAGTACCTGAACAGGGGAACAATTTCATGAATGTCTTTCAGCTTCTTAATTTCCTCGTCTCTAGCTGGAGCACAGAGCGTTCCCATCATTCCAATAATGAACTCTGCCAACTTTGAAATGTCAAGGGCACCATTCTCTGCCTCCTGTTTTATCAGCTCCAGGTCTAGAGCTTCGGTAATCTGATTTCTTAATCTAGTATGGCCAGGCAGCAAAAAAGACAAAAGCGTCTGAAAGAAAGCAATGTTCCTTTGTTAGCTCATAGCAGTATTATGTTGCTGTATCAATCAACACTATTCCAAAGTGATTTAACAGTTGCAGCAATATTGTGTTACTAGGAAAAGTAAAATAAGGTCAAATCATTAACAGTTTTCATAGAAGTTTTCATTCACTTTGTACAGAAGAACTGTTTCGGGGTTCTATCCAATGAAGGAATCCCATGTATACAAGGATTTCTGCTTGCTCAAGAACATCCCCTTCCTCTCCTCCATCCCCCCACCAGTCTGTTGCAGGGCTTTTTCCAACCCCCTGGAGCATATTTGGAGGATGGAATGTGGGGAGAGGGAGGGGTAGTTCCATTCTGAAAGTGGAAGCCCTTGCACAAACAGGATGACTTTGCTGGATGCAACCCTTGGTTTCTGGAGCAGGGGGTTAACTCTGGTGCTTATGTGTGTACGCATGCATAAGCTCCAGTGTATTGAAGGGTGACAAATTCTGCTCCATTTTATATCCTTAAACTCACGTCTGATGCTTCCATTGTGCAAAGTGGTGTCAAGGAGGGACATCAGCAGGGAAACAGGGGATGTGAGAAAGGGTACTTAACCTGTTCTTCAACTGCCACTTTGCTGAAATTTTAGAATGATTATTTCCATCACAAACATGGGTCTGAAACAGAGATGGGGTTGCAGACTGCAAGGGGGAAACTGTAAGAGAGGGTAGGATTAAGCTCCGCTTCTCTTGCTGCCGCTTCTTCCCTGCAAATCTCCTTCTACTGACCTCACTTTGCAGAGGAGAAGCAGTGTGCAGGTTCTGAAGATACGCGGAGACACAATGAGTAGTTCCAGCACAGATGTTAAAGGGGCTAGGGAAGAGGAATGAAATGCCTCAATCAAGTGGCAGACTGTGACCGACATAATTTTTCACTAGCGACAGGTTGTAAATTGGATTACGAGACAACAGAAACTGTTTGCCATACTGATTCCAGAGCACAGTGGGGCAGGGCTTAAGGCTATGAGTCATTATGGAAGCACTGCAAAGCTATCCAAAGGATTCAGGTGTTGCCTGCCACCAGTCCATGCCCTTATGAAACAGGGTCAACGCTGAAGACAGGACACTAGATTAAAGATGCCACTGGTCTAAGAAAATAGGAACTGCCTTGATAGATCAGGCCAATTAATTTATCTAGTCTTGTACATTGGCTCCAGCAGTACCCAATCAAACGCATTTGTGAAGCTCGAACAGGACATGAGGATCTCTAGTTGTCTAAATCAAAGATGCTTCTGATCATGCCTCATCATATTTTTACAACTCTTTGCAGATATTAGCAAACAACATAGATGAAGTCCATCTGGAAGATAATATAATTACTTGGACTTTCAAAAAGCTTTTGACAAAGCACCTGCCAAAGGAACTTAGCAGTCGCAGGAAAGCAGGGCAGAACCTTTTTATGGGCTGGCTACTAGTTAGAAAACAGGAAGCAAAGAGAAGGAAGAAATGTACTGGAAGCAGGAAAGAGTGTAGGTCTCTGAAGACCTGTACTGGGATTCACACAGTTGCAACTACCCTTAAACAATGTAGAATCATGTATGGACAAGAAGTATGCTTATGGAAATACATTAGCCCCTCTTACCTCTTTGATCTCTCCCACAAGTTTAATTGCATGATCATATGACGGTGGATCTTCCTTTAGCTGTGTTTCCAGGCAATCCCAAAAAGCTTTGTGGACAATATCCCTTACTCTTCTTTCAAGGCTGACAAGCAACACAACAGGAGAAGAAAACTGAAATGGTAATTCTAACACAAAGCCAAGTACAATGAGCTTGTGACGCTTCCAAGGGGGGGGGGGAACCATCACTAGCAGTTAGATGGTTACTTGTAATGTCCAACATTACAGTTGAAGAAAATACATTGGTAGAGAACAATATAATTCACTGCGTCCAAGAGGAAGTTCTAGCTCAAAAGGAACATGTAAGGGAGACTCTGTCGCCAAAATGGGATGAAAAGGATAGGGGTTGTAGCTGCCAGAAGGGCTGGAAGGTTTTGAGAACTCCCTCCATAGATAATATGCAAAACAGCTTCCTAAACGAGTTGTGTGGTGAATGTGGAAATTTGAATCACAGCTGATTATGTGTGTATTCTGATGTAAGCATTCTATCTCCTCCTAGGGCAGGAATGCTCTTAACAGACTTTATGTAGAAACATGAACATAACGTTCCCTGACTACATATAGGATATAACACTTGAGCTAGATGTACAAAGCTAACCTTCATGGCTAGATGAGCCTGTTGCTGAGGGGCTCTGGGGAGAGGATGTGGTTCACAGGATGAGGAGGATCCCATGCATTTGGTTCATGGCAAACAGAATATGGTGTATCCACTGTTAACAAGCTTATGTTCTCTTAACAAATGCCTGACCAGCCACAAGATTTTCTGTATTTCTCACTTCCATGTAAAAACAGTGAGATGTTTTTAACTGATTTTTCCCCACCCCTGGATCCACTAGTTGCGGTGCTGTCTTTTCGTACAGCAAAAATTATATTTTTGTTTTAAACTTTTTATGCCTGCGACAATAGACATACCTGTTTTCTGGCAATTCAGCTGGCTTAATTTGGAAGCCTCCATTGATGACAATTTCATGGGCCAACACCATGTTGGTAACTCCTTTTGCCGTTTCCATCAGCTCCTCCACTGACACAAACTGAGGAGGGCTGGCTGTAAGGCAATGAAATATACTTCAGCAAAATGTCCCATTAATTTAAAAAAATGGTAAATTAACAAAGATGACTGTTCCCATCTCACTGAGCATGGCCTGTATTATTTTAAAGTTTACAGTACCTAAGAATTGATAAGGATGGACAATCAAAGATACCACTGGAAATAGTAGAAGTAAATGTCCACTAGAAGTAAATGTCCTCAAAAAAGATAAGCTATCTAATGGTGCATCTCAACCTTTCCCAATGTGGTGACTACCAGATATGGTTGGCCTGCAATTCCCATCATCCCTGACTGGCTGGGGCTGATGGGAGTTGGTCCAACAAGATCTGGAGGGCACCAGGGTAGGGAAGGCTGCCATGTTCAATCTGTGACCCTCCTGTGGAGTTTGTATGCTACCATCATGTTTGAAGCTGCACAAAGAAGTGGGCTGTTTACAGGTCATTCTGTGCAAATCTGTGCCTGTAAAATTCAAAGATGAAGAGAAGGGATATGCTTCTCCTCACCAAGCCTTCTGAGAAAGGAAGGTATGGTCACAAAAAGGGGAAAGTGAAAGCTGTCAGATGGGCAGAATTTGTGCTACAATAACATCAAAGAGGAAAATTGGAAAGGAGGGCTGTTAAAGGGAAACAAAAGATATAGCCCTTCATCAATGTGTGAGGTATGTTGAATTCACGACATTGGAAGCAACCAAAAACTCTGCCATTTAAGGAAGAAACAGAAAGGAAAAGCTGCAAGATTTCCAGCTTCAGGAAATCAAAACAGATTGGACTACAAATAAGCATGGGGCAGTAGTCTATTAATGTGCCCCAGTAATGCTAGGATTCTCACTTGTGCAATGAGATTCCTGAATTGCAGCCGGTTGAAATAGAGGATTCTCGGGGTCCCTTACAACACTACAATTCTGTGATTCCATGACTTTCACACCCTCTCCTTGCATGTACCCTCCCCAAAACTGCTCAAGAGATTTGGGGAAACCATTAGAACAGATTTAGGGGGCATGTGGGAGTAGGACGGGATAAAACATTCAATTGCTCAAGTAGAAGTCCTTGCGTTCACAGAACATTCACGTAGCACTACTTTGGATACAACCCACAGTTCTAACATTGGGTGTCAATCCAATGTCTTATTTCCTCCCCATGCATTGGAGTATGTGGTGCAATATCACAAAGTGAGGTAGAAAGCCTGGCTCAGCATTACTACTTGTTTCATAAATACGTTTTATTGAATAAAAAAACATACTGTTCAGAAAATGCTCCATTTATAGTGAGAAAATTACCTTGGTGTACAGAACACAGAGAGAGAACTCCTGGAGGGTATTTTGGTTCTGAAGAGGGAAATCAGGTTTGAATTAGTAATTTTGCTTACCTTGAGGTGTATTGCCTCTGCTGGGACTTGGCGTATTCTGTCGAATCTTCTTTCTGGAAGACTGTTCGGAGTTATCCAAGTTGTCCTGCTGATTATCTTCTGATTTACCTGATGTTCCTTCACTTGTATCTGGCCTGCCTGGGTCCTGGGACATTCTCAGCTTTTTGGATAAGGAAGAAATAAATTAAACCAATACACACACTCCCACTGAGGCCAAATTCTCTGCTAAATCCTGCATCTAATTCAGTTAGTCCAACTAGGATTCTACCTAAGAATTTTGAGGGAAAATTCTCTGAAATTGGGGGGAGGGGGAGAAATATGTACTGTACAGAAGTTAGACCTATTTATTTAAAAACACTTGAATAAAATAACACTGTTTCAATATTGACAATGTTGCCTGGAGACGTTTGGGGAACAATCAACTAACAAGGATTATAGATAATCATATTCATCATAATAGCAGCAACTGTAATTTCAAATACAGAAAAATAGTAGCTCTGACATCATGCCATATTAAGAGCTGTGATATAGGCTGGAAAATAATCCCTTTCCCAAAGTACATGGTATTATAACCTTAATTAGTAACATAATTAATAGATATAATACCAGGCAAATAAGGCAGTTTTAAAGTTATAATTAACTTTTCTCAGGTGGCTATATTTGACGAAGCATAAATGTATATGCATATAAAATACATGCATGCGTGATAAAATTATGTGGGTCTGGTTAAAGTATGTTAACATTTTTCAACAATTTCCTGGGTTTTGTCACCTTTTTAATTTTGTGAAATGTAACCATATAAGGAAATGTATGCTACTGAACAATCACAACAAAAATACTATTCAAGTAATGCTTTTTAATTAATTTGCATGTAACATTTAAACCATATTAGAACTACATTAAGTGTACTTAATTGATTCAACCTATTCCCAATAAAATATTTGACTTCAAATAGTTATGAGTATACTGGGGGGTGGGTGGACTTTGATGTGTTCATACAGTTTTGCTTACTAAATATAAGTCATACATGCTAAGGGAGTTCCCCATCAATTTAGGGCACTGGAAAACTTTCCCAGAAATGTTTCTAGAATATTTCTGGTTTTAACTTTTCGTTTCAGAAAATGTTGTTTTCTGACTTTAGCAATGACTTTTGTAAAAAAACAAAACATAAACAAAAACCGGTCCCTATTACTGCTAGAACATTAATTCACCTAAAAGGCAGTAAGTGATGAAACAAGAGACCTTTGCCATCCAATGATGTGAAGATGTGCAATTGCCACCACAGATCACACACATCTACCAAACTAACATCATCTCAAACAGAACACAGACTATGGGAAGCAGTTCACACTTTCAGCATCAAGTCGCTGAGCAATGAGACAAGTGATGCTGATGGATATGAAGATCTGTCTTTCATCTCCCCAGGAAATGCTGATATGAATCAGATACTGCCTCTCTCGCTTAAGACTACAAAACAAAATCCATCCCGGTAAAGACCATCTGGGATATGCAAAGCTGGCTGATTGCCTGGTTAGCTAGTCTAGGAGGGAAGCCTCTAAATCAGCAAAATGGACAAAGGAAAGGAAGAACAAAGAAGAAATGCCTCACACAATTCTTACTATAACTTTTTTTTAAGAAGAATTGCTCAGAGGTAGCAAATGGGATTTGAGCAGCCTGGGTGGGGTGGGAAATCTGACCTTTTGAGTCTATAATCCTATATAGGCATTCAGGATCATATCATAATTGCATGAGGCTGGAAAACACATGCCTGCCCCTTAGATGCCATTACCCCAGCCTCTTCACAATGCCATTCATGTTAGTGGAGTCACATCAGCATTCCAAATGCATGAGATGGATCTCCAAGCGCTCAAGGTTCCAGCTCATGGGGCCACTTGGAAGGGTGTCACCACCCCCCAGGAGCACCCTGCAAAACAGGGCAGGCAGGGTGACTGATCACAGTCCCACTCCCCAGCCTCATGTGATCATAGGCACATGATCCTGAGGGCATGCACTAGATGATGGTAGCCTCTTTGCCATATAAATGAATTGTCACATAAATGAACTGTCACACTTACTTCTCACTTGATGTCCTTGGACTAAGCCTTCAGGGTGTAAGAAAAGGGCAGAGAGCCAGCAAAGCAGTGGGGCGAGACTACAGCTTCAAGTTCTGCAAAGCCAAACAGAAGCAAGAGGTCTGTAAGAAAGCCACCACAACAGAGTTAGGTTCCAAAGCAGCAAATACAAAACGCCATTAACAAAGGGCAGATTTGAAAATAAGCACAGGAAGCTGGCATCCCAAGCCTCCCAAATCTCTTACATGGAAGGAGGCCCTACTTGTTTAGATACAATTTATACATAAATAGGCTTGTGACTGATCACAGGAATTTAAAGGCAGACTGTCACAGCAGTATCCTTCCCATATGACATTTTCCTGCAGTCACACTGCTATTTTCATTATACTGTACTGTGTGCTGTGTGTAGAAAAAATCCTAGTTATTTTGTATTCACAATGCCTCTTTCGAACTCACTGGCATCATTTGAAAAGCATTTGGAATCCACTAGGCATTCTGTCAAGTTTTCTTCAACACAAGTGACACTGAGTTAATTAACATTCAGAAATATATCTCATAATAACACATCAAACATTAAAATGCTTCCCTATACAGGGCTGCCTTCAGATATCTTCTAAAAGTTGAGTAGTTACTCATCTCTTTGACATTCTGATGCAAAGGAAAGTTAGAATTTTCTCAGGATTCATCTTCTTGAGTTTTGACATAAACACAAGTTTCCCAAACCCAGAAGACCCAAAGTATGTATGACTGATATAATCCAGGATTGACACCTGTTTGTATATTTAATATATTATTCACATTCTAGACAAAACTTCTAAAATAAATAGAAACATTAGAGCAGACAGAGTTTATCCATATTTTCAATGAAGGCAGAATTGTGTCTGGACTTCTACCAGTGCTGCCTTCAGTTTTTCGAAGGAAGTGTTGTTTAATAGCTTATGGATTAAGCAAAGAGCTTCAACAAATAGAACAAAACAAGACACTTTGCTAGATTATAGTGTACCATGTTGCTATTTTCTCACCCCAGCTTTGGAAACAGATGACTGTATAGGAAATGAGGGATTTAAATAACCGGTTTTCCACTCTAATAATTAAAATTAAACATCCCTAACTATACCCATGATTTACACATATTTACGGTTTGCACTAAGCTCCCTGGTGTCATATGTAGTTTAATGGCTCGGCTGTCCATAAATTGCCAAATTAAAAAAGGAAGCAACCTACAATGCACTGGATTCTTCTGAGCGCATTCAACAGCAGAACTATGCCTGTGTGACCAACTCCAGCCAAGTAGTTCTACAGCCTCTGACATCATGGAGTCTTTTAGCATATGCTCGTGTAAGTGAAAAAAAATCCAAAATAGCAACATCCCCATCAAGAAGGCTGATTTCTCAGACACCGAGAGACAAGCTAGATATGAAAATGGCAGATCCAACATGGATCCTGCCAACTCCATATGAAGTGGTGGAGTGGCAACTGAATGGAAGCAGGGATATGTGGGTTGGGAAAACTAACTCCCCCTCCCAGTAAAACTGCTGTACATCTGCTGCTTTTCTCCAGCACGATTTATTTTGGTTCAGAGTCTCACTGAGAGGAAAACAATAATGGCAGTTCATTGGACAAAAAAAAAGATGGGGAGAGTCACATTTACCATCCCTCTGACCACTTTTACATATGGGTTCTATGACAGTAAAGATTTGGGTAACCGAGACGGTAAAACCTGTTTGAGTTCTACCACCTCAGACTACAGACTATATGACTGAATCCTTTTCCTTACACACAAAAAAAAGATTCCCTTCACTAAATGTCAGGGAGATGAGTTCTAGCCGAGGTTTCTTCCTAACATGCTTGCCTTTATCATGTGAAATATGCTACTTCTACAGACACTTCCATCATTTTCCTTTCCCATTCAGTTCTCATCTCAACACTTACTTCCTTTTAATCCTGATATCATTTCCCCATATGATCCTCCCCACTTGTTATCATCACTTTCCCAGATTGCCCTCTCTTTACTTTCTTCAGAAGTTCTTTGGTGGTCCCTTTCCCCATCATTCTTAGACCCACCTCATTTTTTTCACTCAATCTTTTCTTTTCTATTTTAGGATTTCCAACTTTACTTTGGTTTTGTGTGTTTTCCTCCTTTTAATGCAGTAGCCTTTGTGCTGTAATGCCCCTTAAAGGTTTATGAACCGCTTGCCAGCACAGGTGAGAAGTATTTAATCAGCCAAGTGGTTGAGTCTGCCTCTAGAAGTATGTGTTTGCACCTGCTTGTGTTTAAGACTAATGAATAAACCTGATAGATGTGTGGCGGGCTTGCACATCCTTGAGTTTATTTCACAGAGCTTCTGAGAAGCAACCACCATAGCCTTCCCTAGAAGCCACATGGTTTAATTTGAGACAGGACTTCACAGCTTCAGAACCTTGGGCATAATTTCCAGCTAGGTTTGCACCCTGCCACCTCCCAATTAAGGGGTTTCTGAACAGAAGGCAGCAAAGGAAAATGAGAGAAACAGATCAACGAGACAGAATTCCTCTTTGATGTCTTCCAAACTTTGCAGCCAAGTTTTAACAGCACTGTTTACAGCAGGGGTGGAGTACATTGTTTCCCAAGAAAATGCTCCCCCCCCCCACCACCACACAGAAAAAAATGGCACAGCACTGATTTAAATCAATGAAGTTCAAACCAGGTGGCTTTACAGGCATAAAAAGAAAAACTGAGGCTTCCTCCCCACTCACTTTTTCTACCGTCATGCACACATCCCCATATGAATGTAGACAAGTGCTTGGAAATAAAGCAGCAAAATTTTAAAGTTTTGTATAGTCCCCATTATCAAAAAGTTTCCTTAGCACACATCAAAACAGGTTATTATAGTGTTAGAGCATGTCTTGTCCTAAAGCATATTCATAAAATGCATATATATTATCTTGTTTGGATTTTATTTACACCACAGCATGACTACGCAGTTTCCTAAAAGTCTGCATGAAACTCTAAAAAGATGACTACTCAGACAAGCATGTAATGTTGAGGTTAAGAACTAGAAAAACAGGGATGTGAGTTAAGTGCCAGCTATTTCAGTTAAACCATATATTTCCCAATGTGACACATAAAAAATTCTCAGTGGGGACAGACAAAGCTTAGAACAACTCAGAGAGAATAAAAATAAGGGATATCAGAACTGGTGTATTTCTTTCTGGGGAGCTGCAGAGTTATGAAATAAAATATATCCATTATATTCCAAAACCAGGAAAATCTTCAGATATAGGATTAGAACAATAATATCTATTTAGCAAATGAAAGCCTGTTGCGGCAATCCTGTATTTTTGGGGGGGGCACCTCGGTCCCAGGAGGCAAATGTCATCCTCCAAGCATCTCTATCTGGCCCTTGGGACGCTCACCACACCACACCCCCTCCCCGGGGGACCCCCATCACTGGCCCTGTTCCATACCCTTCTTTCCTGGCTGGAACGCATCCTTGAATTCTCCACCCTGCCTGGCTGGGAGAATAGAGAGAGGGGTTTATGAATGTGTGTAGAAACCAGCCGACTATACAAAGGCAAAACTGAACAGTTGTTGCTCTTGCCACTTTGTCCTCTGGCCCTGCCCACCACTTACATGCGGCCCCTGGTAGGAAGTGGCGGAGGAAGGGGGTGCGGGGGCTGCAGTCGCCCTGGATGTCATGGGGGGGGTTGACAAAATGAGTTTGAGGGAAAGGCAGAGGAGAGGCTACAAGGGTTGGAGAGGCTCGCCCCGCCCCCGCGCAGCTAGCTATGCCGCTGCTGGGAGGCTGCCCAGAAGGGAAGGCAGGCCTTGATAATGCATGCATGCCTACCTAGCAGTAAAGTCCCACTGTGCTAGTGGAGCTCATTTCCGGACAGGGCGCGCATCGGGAACTGACTGGAAATCGGCTGATTTTGACAGCCCTTCAAAACAAACTCGTGCTTTACGGATGTTAACCCTTGACGAATGCTTCAGGCAGGGTAGACACGGTGGAATTTCCCCGCTCTCTCCATGCAATGCGATCCCTTCCGATTTAATCGGGATTAATGGCCCACACAGGACGACAAGGATTGTGCTCTCTCCCGCATCCCCGTCGCGACCCCGGCCCGGGACCCCGATGCAGCCGAATAACAAGCAGCGCCAGTTCTGCTGCAGCGCCCGCAGGCGCAGGGACAGGGGCAGAGTTTGCGGCTCTCTGGGGCACCAAATCCCGACACCCCCCCCAGCCCTGGTGCAGACAGGGATGGCAAGGGGTGGGGAGGGGGACCGGGCTGCAGGGGGAAGAAGACGTCCCGCCCACCATTCCGCAGCCCCGCTTACCCGAGAGGGAGGCTTCGAGCGCAGGAAGACAGCAACTTTTTTGCACCCGGTCTCCGGAAAGCGAGTCCGGTCGGCGGGGGGCGGGAAAGGGCGCGGCCCCTCAACGCCAGCGCCACTAGTGGGAACTCCTCGCAATCCCCGTCGTCGTCCTCTTCCTCCTCACAGGCAGCCGGGAGCCTGCAGAGGGCAGGGGGAAGCTGGCGGCTCCTCACAGGGCGCCGCCATGTCTGCGCTCTCCCTCGCTAAAGCGGCAGCGGCTCAAAGCAAAGCGCGAGGAGCCCTAATGGGCAGCTGCGGGAGGAGGGAGGGAGGAGCGCGCGCGTGCCGGCGATAACAATACGCACGATAGCTGTCAATCAAGAGACGAGGTTGTTGGCGGAAGGTGTGAGGGGCGAAAGGCTCTTCCCTCCCCACCTCCGGGCCTTTTTTCTGTTCCAGAACTACCGCTGCTGCATCCAGGCTTTTCCCACTGTACGTGTGCATGGAGGGAGGGGAGCGCCGTGCCGCACAAAAGCCCCACCACCACATGCACACATACAGAGGCAGGGCTGAGTACTATTATGACGGCTTTTATTTTAAACCGCCGATAAACCTCGAAACAATGAACTGAGAGCCTAACGCCATGCGGACTGACTGGCACGGGGCGTGCTGGAAACGCCTCCCTGCAAACAGGTTTCTAAGCATGCACGCTGTTCAAGAGGCAGCCTTTGTTTGGCTCTCTCGCACAGCCGTCCTGCAAAATAGGTTGCTGGTCAATGTCCGAAAGGGATCAGTCGGGCCAGCTGGTCAGGTGCATTGCAGCCCCGGGCATGTTTACTTGGGAATGCCGTCCTGCTGTGTTAACTTGCTCCCCAAGCTCCCTAGGGTACATGGCTTGGGGGGGGGGGGACGAAGACAAAAGAATGGCGTATGCACCCCAGTCACTGAATGGTGAGAGATTTCAAGGGTGCCCGCACCTATCTCGTGTTTGGTTTCTTTAAAATAAAATTAAGGTCACCTGAGATTCTGGCGTCGTTACGATAAACGGTTTTATTTACAGGCTGGCGCTGAGCATCATTTGGACTCTCAGCATCAGAGCGCCAAATAAAACTGCTCATTAGGTTTCAGGGGGGCGGTGGCTTCACAATGCCTTAGTACTGGATCCTCCCAGAGCGCAGAATCGGGCCTCTGGGTACTTTCAGCAGCAGGTGTGGGGTGTATGGGGAGCTGAGCTCCGGTGTCTAAATGATGCCTCCTTAATAAAAGAGGGTAGTTGATCGCCCTGCCAGCGCTATCAGTTACCTCGGGAAATTATGCTGCTTCCATTAACCCTCTCCTGACCAAACTACCTACAATCAATAATTAAAGCTATGAAGGAGCCCTTTAGATGACATCATTCTAGACTAACCAATACAAATATGCAACAACAAAAGCAGATACAACAAAATGCTATATAAAAACAATAGAAATCAACAAAAGCAACATACAATGCACTCAGTAAAAGTAGGAAAATAGAAAAGAAGAGGGGGCCTTCCTGAAAGATAGCCTATAACTACCAATAATAATAATAATAAGCTAGACGACGGCAATTAAATAGCTGGGCAAAGAAATGATTTGGAGAGATATACACTGTGTCACCACAGATAAAGTTTATTCCCTAGTCACCACCTACCTAACCTCCAATTGAAAACATGAGTGAATGCTGAGTGGGAAGCAAAACAGAACACATGTGAATAAATTCACATTGTGAGAATAAATCTACATTGTTCTGCAGAGGCAACTGACAGGGATCATATCACCTTATGTTTATTCTTGGAATAATCAAACTTGGGGAGAGTGAGTAGGGAAATTATATTCTTCCCTCTATAAAATGTTTACTTCCAAGAGCACAGGTCTGTTGCTGTCATTTTGTTGGAAGGATCCTGAACGTGTTTAGGAGACATATGAAATGCATAGGAATCCTTAATCCTCAATATCACTTCTATTTTTCTAGAAAAAGAGGTGTTGGGAATCAACATGAACACCTCCCTTGTTCTCTTATAATGGCAATGGCTCTCACCTGAGAGATACCGGAACTGATTTCTGGCAATTTCTGGCTGAAAAGAGCCCTGCTCAATATGTATTTCATCTAGGTAGGAGGGTTAACATTATAAACCTTTATCAGATTCAAGTGCCTTATTTCTGTTCCCTTATAATCCCTGCAGATCTGTGACTGATGGCTCACTTGGACAATTCCCTACAGCTCAGAATTGGTTGCCATCCAGAACAGAACATTAGTCCAGGCGGAAACAATGAGAGCTTAGACAAAACAAGTAAGATATCTTCAGAAAGTGATAGTACCTGTAAAATCAGTTTATTCTGTGCTTACCTCTGAAAAAAACTAAGGAACATCAAATAAACCATTAAAAACATCGCCTGAAAAGGGACACATCCACAATTTTACTATTTATATAAAGAGAGATCACTTAAATCCCAGGAGGAAACAAGTCAGGAAACTGGGGGGCAGGGGGAGGAAGAGAGATAAATGTAGCTTCAGTACTACAGTACTCGCAAAGCATTATAATCAGCCATTTGAGCAAAAGGCAAAAATGCAAGCCAAAGCTGAAAATGATACCATCAGGCGAGAAAGCCAGCCATGGAAAAAAGCAGTCAGTGAAGCAGAAGACAGCACCTAGCAATAGAAACTGGATCCATTTTAGTCCAACCCAACACACCTAACTTCAGCCACACTCTGCAGTCACTAGTCACATGAGTACCTAACCCTTGGACATATTGTCTTTTCAGGTTACTATGGGGTGGTCCTATCTTGCAGCAGTGACTTGAAACCAGACAGCACTTTTATCCCTTTGATTTTTGCGCCCAATAGGTTGTTTCCCAAGCCCTTATTTTAGCAATCAGAGAGCCAACCACATCATAACGCACCAGCCTGGTGTGTGCTATACTGCATGGCTCTCCTGTGCCTTGGCGTGGCTTTGTCTCTGATTGAGTCTAAGTACCATAAACCTGCTGTACCTTTCCACTCCCCCTGCCCACACTTGGAGTGGGGCTTCCATCACAGATTGCCAATGCAATCTGTTATAAGGAATTGCTCTTTGAGAAACAAAACCAAAGCATAGTTGGCCATCCAGAAACTATACATTATGAACTATACACATGAAGGCCAATGGTTAAGCATATGCCTTATTTGGAACCATTTCCAAATAAGGCAGCAGCATTTAATTTCTTATTAAATTAAATGCATTAAAAGCAGTCTACCCCCACTTATTTTTGGTTCCTCTTTGCACTATGTTCCCATGCGCAGAAAATTAGCAAGTAACTATTTAAGCCTAGAATGCCAAGTAGTATGGTAGGGCCTATACTTCAAAGCCTATCTACTGGCACAGATAAATCCAATATGCCACATTATGGTGGGAATAACACAATTAAAGGAGTGAGAAATATTAAAGCGGAGCTTTGCATTTCTTTCTCTTTTTTTTGGCTGCCTATTATGGAGCCAATTGCAACAGTAAATAAAAACGGGTTCAGTGGTGGTAGTCTCCTGAGGAGCGAACCTTTATGTTGGAAAGTTTTGCTCACCCTTGGCCAGTTTATTAGCTTCAGGTCCCTATTGTTCAACAGAATGGAAAACATCTACCAACGAGCATTCTTTGCACTGATACAATTCTTGTCGTGTCCATGTAAGGGCAGAAGTGGTGGTATGGCAGTAATGATGATTTACAACTGCCCTCTAAATCCAAGAAGGTTCACAGAAACCTCCATTAGGTTTCTACTACAGATTTATGTAGATGTTCCATGGACCAAGACAGTGTTTTGTTTTTTTTTAAAAATACTGTAGATTCCAGATCACCATCAGCTGCACTTTTAGATCTATCAGCAGAGAAGGCAGTAACAGTGACTTCATGCATATCCCAAACTCTCTTGGCATCCAAGTACAAGGGTAATTTACACAACCCTGGAGTATATGATTCAGTCCTTATTTTCCAAGCAGGCACTTAATCCCTCTGGATTGTGTTGTGCCATTGACAAATCAATTACTGGGACTCACTGCCCTGGGCATAAGCGACATTTCAGCATGCCACTATCAAATACAATTAAGCTGAGGTGTTCGCAAGGATCATATGAACACAAGACATGTCCTACAAAAACAAACATGCTTTTTCTAACAAGCCCCATTATTTTTTACGTTTACTCTGAACCCCACTGAATTCAATGGAGTTTATGCCCAAGTGGACCAACGGAAGATTGCTGCTGCTCACCTTTGTGGAGGATTATTTGTTCTTCAGAGTTCAATAAACATGAACATAAGATTAGACACAATCACAGGTATTTACACAATTGGCAAGTGACTGCCATGCACTGTTAATTCAAGACCAACTTGGCCTAAAAATATCCTTTTCAATTATATACACAATACATGGAACCTAACAAAGGGACAATATGAATTGACTCTCCACACCCTTACTTTAGCAAGAAGACTGGTATTGATGAACTGGAAAAATAAAAATGCAACTCCCTTCAACAAATGGATTGAAGGTATTTATAAACTCAACACGTGAACAAGTCACATACAAACGTAGACTTGTCATGGACAAATAATCTTGTAATAATTTATGGGCATATATATATATATCCAACAGCCTTGTGTTACACAGAGAAACCATGTGGTTGTTATAGTCCAGTGGTAGTGAGATCTGACAATCAGGAGCAAAAATTATATTCACCAAATAGTCTAGTTTTCAGGAGCTTCCAATAGTGTTTGAACAAAGCTAAAAACTCATACACTGGCCTAAACTTCCCTCCCCACCGCAGTTTTTTTTTTAAATCAAGAATACATCTGAACAATTAAGATTTAAATAGAAGCTTTAATTATTTTTAAATAATGTTATTACATGGGGACTTCATATTACAAAACCACTTTTATTTAAGTACAATACAAAAAAATTAAAAAGATACAAAATAAGTGCTTCCAAAAGTTATTAGTAGCCCAGTATCCTTCTAGAGCTAAAGTTCGACACCTCCATCGGTACCTCTGTCATGAAAATACTGCAAAAAGATGGCTGGATTACTAGCATAGAATTGATCAAGCAACCTCTTCCGCTCTTTGGCAGAGAGACTGGAGTCCTCATCAATAGATTTTAGCAAAGATACAAGTTCCTTTTTTGTAGTCTTCTTTGCACTGTGGTGATACTCACTTTTGTCAAGTTGCTGGCAGAAAGTATATCCTAAAAAGCAAGCATGAAAAACCATTCATAAAAGTATAGTGGTAACTCTTGTCATTGATACACAGTATTCTCATATCCATAATCAATAGAGCAGAGGCATGGGGAGCCTCTGGCCTGCCAGGGATCCTAATTTGGCTTGTGAAGGTGAAGTCATTTCCCTCCACCCATGCCCACATGGCCCCACACCTTCTGAGCTGAGCTGAGCTGATCCCTGCCACAACAGGAACACATTCTCATGTTTCCCTCATACTGAAGTTATCAGATGTAACATGACAACAGGCTACTGATAGGTGGGTAGCCCTACCTACCTAGCAAAGTGACATATGGGGGGGAGGCCTCAGAATTTGCCCCCCTCCTAAGCTGGATCCTGTTCCCCACCCTTGCCCTATATCAC